TTGTGGGGAGACGGGAGAGCATTCACAGTCTTCTGGTGCCTTGTACTTCTGCCTTGTACTTGTTGTCACCCCCTAGATTCCACGTCTGCCAGCCCCAAACCTGCCAGCCACAGAACCCTACCTGTGCACATACGCCGCACACACTCACATCTCCCCACACTTACACAGATTCACACACACACACAGATGCCACACGTGCACATCCATACCACATATACTGCTCTACACACAACATAGACATCACACTCACACCCACAACCCAAGCAAAGCCATAATATCACATTCACACTCCTGTGTCCTTATTCCCAGCAAACAGTCTCCCAGCACTCAGCTGCCTTGACGCCCTTGGACTCACAAGGCTCCCAGAGAAGAGGGTCATTGTCTCAAGGGCAGATGGAAAGTCTGTTCCCCACGCCTGGTCCCCACGTGGGCAGTGGGACAGAAGCCCGCCCGAGAGCTCGTCTCCCAGGGCCTAGATCATTTTCCGCACTGGAGTAGGTCCCTTGTCACCATGAGCCACGCTCAGCCCCTGGTGACCCCGTGGCCAGCCTCCCTGGGTAAGGGGCCTGCTGTGGCCCAACGCTGTGAGAGGCGCTGGGGCGCGGGAGAGGTCAGGTGCAGCCCCCGCCGTCCAGGGCGGGACAGAAGGAGAGCAGAGCCCCAGGTCAGGAGGTGAAGAGGTGAGAGGGTGGAGACACGGGAGCAGGGAGGGAGGGGCTGGGGCTCACGCTGCGTCTCCCCCTCTCTCCAGCTCTTCCGACGTGTGGCCTCTGCTCTGCCTGGAATGGAGAATGTCCAGGAGAAAAGCAAAGAAGGGAGTATCCTTTTCCTTTGACAGGGATGAAGCTGGCCTCCTGGGTCTGCATTGAGACCCCATCCAGCTCGAACTATCTAAGCTTCTACTTCCAAAACAGCGTGGGGATGCCAGAGGGATGTGTGTGGAGGGACGGTGCAGGGCAGGGAGTGAGAAATAGTAACTCTGCCCTTTCCGGTGAACATAGATTTGTATTTCACAAGTAGACTCTCCACTTCTGTGCACTGAGACATGATTTCAACGTGGTTCAACCTCCTCTACACAAGACAGCTCCCCTCACAGGTGCCTCCTTCCCTGTCCTGCCTGCTTCCTCGGCCCAGCCCTGCACAGCCCCGGGCCTCCCCGCTGTTCCAGGGGCAGGGTCTGCACCCCACTCACAGTCACCCCAAACCTCAGGCCACACACAGAAGCAGAAACAGAGGCTCAGAGAGGTAGTCTGAATTGTCCAGTGGGAAGGAAGGTAGTTGTTTATTGTCTGTTTACTAGTTTCTTTATACTCTGAATGTTATTTTAAAATGTGTTTATGTATATATACCCTACATATACACACGAAACAAGATAAAAATGCCCGTTATATGTGCATACACACACATAAGAGAACTAGGGTGTAGGGAGAATAAGGAAAAGTCAGAGACAAAGTCATACTCAAGAGTATATGCCGTGGCTGAGTGGGCAGAAACTGGAAAGGAGGGAAGGTGGTCTTTTGAGGATGAATGGCTTTTTATAGTATTTAACCCTGAAAGAAGCTCCCCCATCATTCTTGCATGGGGCCCCATCCCTCCCTAGGATGCCAGCTACGGGCCCCAGAGCAGGGCTGCCTCTCCCTCCACTGCTCCCAGCCCGGGTGGAGCCCCACAGCAGCCCGGAGCCCGGCAGGGGATGGGGCGATTCTGTGCGGGGCTGAGGGCCTGGGCCTCAGCTGTGACCAGGTCTGGCCTGACGGGGTTTTCAGCCTGGTGAGGGCAGCGGGAACAGCCTGGCTGAGCATTTAAGCACCCACGCCTCTGGGGTTCTTATGGGTGCTTCGCCTGCCCACAGTCCTCACGGCACCGACGGAAGGGGCTGGAGAGGGGGCTGTGCTGAGGCCCTTCCGAGGGAGGTGGCTTCTCGCAGCAGCAGCAGCCGCCGCGGGGTCTAAGTGACACGCTCTGCCTGGGAGCTTGAGGGGTCGAGGTGGCTACGCCACCCCGGGCAAGGGCCCCGTGGCCCCGTGACTTGCGAGGTGAGATCCATGCCCGGCCGGCGGGCTCTCCACCTGCAGTGCTCTCTGGGGTGGGGCTGGGAGGCGGCGCTCCAGCAGCAGTGGGTCCCCGCGAAGGCTTCTGAGAAAGGATCTGGCCTGCCCCTGTTTCGACGGTCATCCCACAGCCCAGGTCAAGCTTAGCTTCGGGTGGATGGCGGTGAGGGCTTGTGGGAGGGGTGAGGAAGAGCAGGAGGGTTGGGAGCTCGTGACTCGCATCCTTCCCACCCAGGCCAAGCGAAGAGCGAGTCCCTGGGTGTCTGCGGAGGGACGGAAGGGCTGAGCCGGGCAGATGAGGGTACAAGGGGCGGGGGCGGGATCTCCTCCGGGAGCGTCATCTTCCTTAGCCCCGCCCCCCGCAGTGATCGACATCAAGCTGGACAAACCCCAGGAGCCCCCGGCCAGCGAGGGCGGCTGCTCCTGCTAATGCAGCCTGACCGCCGGCTTCCTCTGACACTACTCGCTTGTTGTGTTGCTTCCTATTGGTTAGCTTCCTAAGGGGGGTGGGAAATGAGCTTATCCAGATGGGAGGATTTTTCTTTTCTCTCTGTCTCTAGGAGTCGGGTGGGGTGGGGCGGGAGGCTGGGCATCAGGGGTCACGTCACTCTTAACAGCCGTTACTTAAACAACTATTTTTTGGTTTGGTTGTAATATATTGTACTTTATTAAGATTGCCAAAAACTGTTAAAATTAAAAAAAATTTAAATCATGTGTATACAACTTTTTGCCAGATAAAAATGTAGTCATTTTTATTTGAAAGATGTGCTTTTTTTGTTTTTGTATATTTGTAAACTTACAGAGAACCTTTTCCACGCACCTCCTCCTTCCCGTCCTCTTTGAAGGGTTCATCCCCTCTGCCCTCCTCCTGCCCCCAGCCCAATAGATTAAAACAATTAATCTGGGCAATTTAATTCGGCTCCAGTCCTGGGCTGTCTGGCCCAGACCAACACAAACAGGCCCCACCTGGTTAAATCAAACGCTGATTGAACGAAACAGCCTCTGAAGAGGCAGCTCTGCCCCTGTCCTTTCGTGGCCAGGGTAGGGACATCAGCCACGGCCCCAAGCTGAAATTAAGGCCTTGTGGACTGCAGGGAGTCCAGCCACAGGCCCACTGGAATTACTTCTGCCTCTTTGTCTTCTCCATGAAAAGCCTTGAAGGGGTGGAGGGCACTTGCCACAGGCAGCCGTCTGTGCTCTGTGGTCTGCCCAGTGATTGGCAGAAGAAGAGGCCATGGGACGGATGGGGTGCTGTTGACCACTGTGGGCTGGGGCAATGTGTGGTTTATAGAATTGGGGCACCATGTGTAGTTCTGAAAATGTTTTAACCAACCCGTCCAGCCGTCAGCACACATGTCTAGGTTGAAGCTAAGGGAAGGGCAAAAGGAAACTCGGCGTCTGCCCCCCTGAAGCCCTCCTCCTTGGATGCCAGGGAGGCTGGAGCCTACATCACGCAGTGTTGGTCCACCTGTGATTAGAGAAGGGAGGGTTGTCTGCAGAGCTGCCGCCTGGAGGGTGCATGTTCACTGATGCTTGGTTGTTGACACTGTTGAGTGCTGTTCTGGAAAAGTTGACCTCTTGACGTGTTTCCGCCACATTGGCCCAGTGTAGTTGAAATCTGTGTGCACAGAGCTTTGCAGACATTGTACCGGTACTCTGGTTGCCCGAGGGTAGGGCGGAGGCAGGGTCTCCAGCAGCCTGCCCAGGGAGAGCCTCCTTGCCATTTTTGATTCATTTCTGAGAAGGGCTTAGTCCTGAAGACCTACCTGTAAAACTTCTGAAGAGAACTTTCTCTTCCACTAAGTGATGTAGCCCTCCTGGCCAGCATTCCAAATAGATCCAGCCTCACCAACCCTGAGCCTGCATGAAACCAGGCAGTGGGCAGCAACTCTGGCCCAAAACAGTAAACCCCGCCCTCCAAGCCAGCACTGACTCTTCTCCAGGCTGCTGTTTGGCTTGTCACAGATGAGCTAAATGACCATCTGGGGTGTGGTAGGGGGTAAATTCCTCCATAAAACAGGGCTCCAATAAGTTACTGCAACGCATTTGGAACTTCTCAGAAACTAATCCAAAATGGCAGCCAGTTAGCGCAGCAGAACCTGGCAGAGCTCACTGACATTTGGCCAGGGGGCCTGCCACACACTCAGCCCAGGAGACTGTATGTCAGAACTGATCTTTAGAGAGGAATTTATCTTCAGGAGAAGAAAAGAGGAAGCAGGGTTTCCACTGAGCTCCTCTTCCAGAAGGCAAAGACCGATGTACGACCGTAATTCCAATGTCACGTGTTTAGTTTTTATATGTGTGTACATAATTATGTATAGAGATAGACTTGTGTATACACCTGCCACACACATTCTCACAGAGATACATGTGCTCAATGTATATTCTTGTTTTTCCTGCTCTCAAGTTGGAATTTGCATTGTGATAACCGTTTTGGAAATCAAAAGTACTGCAACGTGTTGAAATAAGAAATACTTAATATTGTCCCAAAACTTGTGATTGTCTTGCCATCAATAAAATAACGCATAGACGTGTTAACTACAGGCAAAAATAGCCCCACGGGAATATGCACATCATTTCCCTATGTATTTATATGCACAGGTGTGCGTGCCCACGTGGGCCAGTACCCCCTCCATGGCACACCCCTAAGTGGTGCTTGTTGGAAGAGCGTTTACTTACCTTGTGAGAATTCACAGGGGTCCAGGTGACAGCACCCGGCTTGGCTGGCAGTGAGGCCCATTGCTTGTGGCCCCTGGGAGAGCCCCATGTGTAGGGATCTCATTCGGTCTCAATGAATGAATGGATGGTGGATTTTATTTTCTTGGTACTAAACAGTGCTTTTTCTTAAAACATCCTTGTAAAAAAGGTAGAAACTCAGCCCCCTTCTCAGGTGCACACATATCCAAGGCACCGTGAACGTTTTTTTCCATCACAGCCTTGAGGAACTGTAAGAGACGCTGTAGATACCACATGGCTCCATGTGGCCTCCGGGAGCCCTTCTTTCCCAGCATGTACACAAAATCCTACCTTTTGAGCCCAGGCGCTCCCTCTGAAGGTGAGGGTGGGTTGCCTCCTCCCATCCTCCCATCTTGGTTCCCTGGGCCCTGTTTCCTCAGGCCTGATCTATACCCCTCGTTCCTGGGTGTGTCGGGGCAGCTGGAGCTCTGGCATAGAAGGGCGTTGGGTCGTTGGCTCCTGTTTTAGGCTGGTGTCATCACTGTCCTCTTGCTTGTAGGTAGGATCTTGACTCAGAGTTTAGGTTCAATAGTGAAATGATCACATTTCCTTGTAGAAAATGTCATGAAAGTCCTCAGCATCCCTGGTGAGAGTACCCCATCATTGCCGTATCCAGGTGGGCTAGCGAGAGGCAAAGGGCAGGAAGCCTTTTAGGAGTGATCTCAGTTTACCAGTGGTTTGGTCCCCTTCCGCATAGAGCAGCCCTGACCTGGAAGTTGAGCAGAGTCATCTTCTGTAGCCCTCTTTTTTCTTTGAGGAATCTCAAAGAAAAGTCGTCAAGAAAGCTCCTGTTGTGTGGGCATCTGAAAAATCATGCATACGATGGGGAAAGCAGGAAATGTATCTGTGAATGCACACACACGCCGGAGTGAAAGCGGGACGCCAGCATCCTGAGTGCTGGAACTGCGGCTGTGTGGTCCGAGGTTAGCAAGTGTGGTGACTTGGTCATTGGCCTCCCTGACATCACTGTCGCCACTCTCTTCCTGTCAGCATCCTCAAACGATAATGTCCCAGGTCCGAGGAGCAATGGCCAGATGGGTTCAAGTATCTCAGGCAACAAACAGAAATGGTGGTAGCTAAGGGTGCAGACACGTCTTGAATGCGACATCTCTGTCCTCCCAGGGGCTGGCCAGTGCTGGGAGCCCCTGCCCTCAGGTACCAGGTGTGACAATAATGGCACCGCTGGCTTCGGTGTCCTGTAGGCAGAGCAGCCTCATTCCTTCACATGGTGGAAGGCAGGTGAGGGTGTCAGGATGTGAGAATAGGTAGCCGAGGGCTGTGAGTCATGTCTGAGCCATGAGGGGCAGCTGAGCAGAAGCGTGTCTTCATCAACCAAGCAAGGTTGTGTGTTCACTGGTTTCCTAACTACCTCTCCCCAGGAATGTGAGGCATTGTCACCTGGCTACAGCAGAGTGAGGCGGGGGGCTCGTAACCCTTCCTATGCCAGACGGAGAAGGGTGACTTCCTTATCATCACCCAGCAAGGCAGCCGGTGGTCAGAAGAAAGGTGTTTCCATATTTCATCCATCACCAACCTGTGTGTACAAACGTGATGTACACTGGCACCCAGAGCGCTGCTGGGCACGCGTGCTCCTCAGACCATCCCTACTCTGGTCCAGACGTAAGAGTCTGTCCGGCGCATCTGAGTGAGCCAGGAAAGAATCCATGTACATTTCAGGCTCCTCCATTGCAAAGAAGGGCCAGTCCCCAAGTCCACTCTGATTGTCAGACCAGGGCATCCTTTGAATATGTTGTTTGAAATGAACTACTTCAGTGTTCTAAAACCTTGGGCTTTCAGTGTATAAACTCCCTGGACGCCAGACCCCCGTGCGGCTGACACTCCCGGCAGGGTGTGGTTTATCCTTGCAATGGGGTCTGGATGCTTCCTTCCGCTGGGAAGCCTCCATACATTGACGGCCAGCCTGTATCACGTGGTGTGTGTCACCTTTCCCCGCACCTGTCCCCATAAAAGTGATTGGCCATGAGAAGCCCAGAGGGTGGTATTTCCATCTCTCCCTGGCTCAGCAGGCTTAAATGGCCACATTGACTTTACATAAAACTGTGTAAAATGTGGAAGACTCAGCATGTTGATCAAACAATAAACTGTCCTGATTCTCAACACAAAGCCTCTTGTCTACTGTTTCTAAGTGGTGCAGTCACATATGGGGGGGTGGGGAGGGGAAAGCTAGATTTCTTCACGTGCGTGCTCTGCAAAGACCCTCTCGTGTCTGGATGATGTGTTCACCACAAAGCCCTTTGCTTCTTCCTCCTGTTCACCTGGGCTCTCTACCAACTTGGAAGGGGGAAGGGCTGGACACACTAATATGATTACATCCACACTCTCTTCCATAATCTCCATTCTGCCTAAAGGCTGATGGAAAGGGAATCTCAGGAGAAGTGAGACTCCTACCATCCCTGCTCTCCACTCACCATGGCTGAGGGTTAGGAAGGATGGATGTGGAGACTGGATCGGTCTTCCTTCCGGTGATTTCCAGGAAGCTATTTAAAGGCAAGAAGTTCAGATGAACCATAATCACCTTTCAGATGACACTACGCTGCCACGTACCACCTCATGCCGGTTGGAGCATCCCTGAGACCGCCCTTCCGTCTTGGTCATCTCCAGACTAAAAGGTGCCCTGAAGGCCAGGACAGTGGTGGGACTAATCCAAAGAGGAAGCAAAGGCCAGGACACAGAACTGCCCTGGTCTGAGAATGCTGGGAACCCTGGGGCTGTACAGTAAGCCACGTTCACCAGGTCTCATCCTTCTTCAAGTTCAGCCTTCACTATCTTTCGCCTATAAGGGTTCTAAAGTTTCTGGAACACCCTCCAATCTGCCATCTCAAGGAAGCTATTTCTAATTAGGAGGGACAGGAAATAGATGGCCCTACCCACTGAGCCTAGCTTTTCTGGCTGCCAGATGCAAAATGTGAGGTTAAGAGGTACAGGGCATGTGAAGGGGCAGAGGCCTGAGAGCCAAGCGCACATGCCTGTGTGGACCAGGTCAAAGCCAGCTGTTTGCGACAAGCAGTCATTCCCCAAGACTGGTGTTCAGGGTGACGTGTCTGGAGTGGATCATCCCCCTGAGCGTGGTGGTCACATGCACAGTGTCCAGCAGCTCCTTCCCCCGCAGGTGAGGGAAGCACTGTTGGGATTCCCTACACGCTGTGATGAATGTCCTCCCTGGAGTGAGCATGGCGCCGCTCGAGGTGGCTTTGTCTATCACTGTAGCTGTGTTTCACTGGCCAGCGACCAAGAGTTCAGAAAGGAGCTTTGATAATCCTTTGCCAATCTCAAATTTTTTAAATTATTTTTAAAATTGAAATATAGTTAATTTACAATGCTGTGTTAGTTTCAGGTGTACAGCAAAGTGATTCAATTATACATATATACTTTTATTCAGATTCTTTTCCACTATAGGTTACTACAAGATATTGAATACAGTTCCCTGTGCTATACAGTAGGTCTTAACTTATCTATTTTATATACAGCAGTGTGTATACGTTAATCCCAAACTCCTAGTTTATCCCTTCTCACCCCTCTGCTTTCCCCTTTGGTAACCATAAATTTGTTTTCTATGTCTGTGAGTCTATTTCTGTTTCATAAATAAGTTCATTTGTATCATCTTTTTAGATTCCACATATAATGACACCATATTTGTCTTTCTGATTTACTTAGGATGATAATCTCTAGGACCATCCATGTTGCTGCAAATGGCATTATTTCATAATTTTTTATTGGTTGAGTTATGTTCACATACATACACACACACACACACACACACACATACATACATACATCTTATTTATCCATTTATTTATCAGTGGACATTTAGGTTGCTTCCATGTCTTGGCTGTTGTAAACAGTGCTGCTATGAACACCTGGGTGCAGGTATCTTTTCGAGTTGGAGTTTTCTCTGGATATATGCCCAGGAGTGGGATTGCTGGATCATATGGTGAGTCTATTTTTAGTTTTTTACGGAACCTCCATACTGTTCTCCATAGTGGCTGTACCAATTTACATTCCCACCAGCAGTTTAGGAGGGTTCCCTTTTCTCCACACCCTCTCCAACGTTTATTGTTTATAGAGTTTTTAATGACAGCTGTTCTGACTGGTGTGAGGTGATACCTCATTGTAGTTTTGATTTGTATTTCTCTAATAATTAGTGATACTGTGCATCTTTTCATGTGCCTGTTGGCCATCTGGATGTCTTCTTTGGAGAAATGTCCATTAGGACTTCAGCCCATTTTTTGATGGGGTTGTTTTTTGATACTATGAGCTGTTGGAGCTGTTTGTATATTTTGGAAATTAATCCCTTGTCAGTAGCATCATTTGCAAATATATTCTTCCAGACTGTGGTTTTTTTCATTTTCTTTATGGTTTCCTTTGCTGTGCAAAAGCTTTTAAATTTAATTAGGTCCCATTTGTTTATTTTTATTTCTATTACTCTAGGAGACAGATCCAAAAGAAGATTTCTGCGATTAATGTCAAAGAGTGTTCTGCCTGTGTTTCCCTCTAGGAATTTTAGAGTATCCAGTCTTACATTTAGGTCTTTAATCTATTTTGAGTTCATTTTTGTATATGGTATTAGAGAATGTTCTAATTTCATTCTTTTACATGTGGCTGTCCAGTTTTCCCACCAGCACTTAGAAGGGACTGTCTTTTCTCTATTGTATATCCTTGCCTTCTTTGTTGTAGATTAGTTGGCCGTAAGCGTGTGGGTTTATTTCCAGGATTTCTACCCTGTTCTATAGATGTATATGTCTGTTTTTGTGCCGGTACCATATACTGTTTTGATTACTGTAGCTTAGTCTGAAGTCAGGGAGCATGATTCCCTCAGCTTTTCCTTCTCAAGATTGTTTTGGCTATTTGGGGTCTTTTGTGTTTCTGTACAAATTGAAAATTTTTTTTGTTCTAGTTTCATGAAAAATGCCACTGGTAATTTGATAGGGATTGCACTGAGTCTGTACATTGCCTTGAGTACTATGGCCATTTTAACATATTGATTCTTCCAATCCAAGAATGTAGTATATCTTTCCATCTGTTTGTGTCATCTTCGGTTTCTTTCATCAGCAGCTTATAGTTTTTGATGTACAGGTCTTTTGCCTCTTTAGGTAGGTTTATTCCTAGGTTTTTTTCCCCATTTTTTAAAAAAAAAGCATATTTCAGTTGAAACAAAAAGATCTTAAGTCAAAAGAACACCAAGTGCCTCACACAGGGCAGGACCACAGCGAGGATGCTGGAGTTCCAGGAGGCACAGAGACACAGGTCATGAGAAGTGGCAGCCCTGCTGGGGCTGCGTGGGTGGTGCAACCACACAAGAAAGGGCGAAGGTGAGGGCAGCCCTGAGGCAGTTGACCTTGAGGTCCACGCAGTGCTGGGGCTCTCCTGCAGCCATGATGGATGGAGCTCATGCTAATGAGATGAGGGGAGAGCAGGGGGCCACACGGAAAAGGCACATTTCTTAACCTCAGGGTGGGACCATGTGCCTGCAAAAGCAGGAACTGCGCCATACTTAGTATTCCCAGAGCCTGGCATGGTGCTTGGCATTTTCCGAATGAATTAAGGCCATGCATGGCTCTCTTGAGTAAACAACAGTTTAGAACTTCACAGCTGAAAGGGAAATGGGACTACTTTCCTGTGCAAGTCAGGTGAGGTGATCACCTTCCTTTAAATACGTGAAGAGCTGAAATAGAAGAGCATCTTAATTGCTGCTGACACACCTTTAAGTGAGTATGGGCATAAACCAGTTGAAGGTTTGATCTTTCTCTTCTAAGCTCAACCCTTAAAAAAGAAAAATCATAATATTCTGGCTGAAATGACCTCAACCCAATGAAACAGCCAAGTGGCTGACACACAGCAAAGCCACCAGAATCCCAGGGGCACTGATTCAGCAGGCGTGGGAAGACACAGGGGGCAGACCCCAGGAACTCCCCGCCAACAGCAGATGTTGTTGATCAGAAACTAGGATCCCAGCAAACTGTCAGGCACCTGGCAGTGGAGGGGCCACTAAGGCCCCCAGGGAAGCACTGAAGGTACTGCAGTAAACAGGCGGCCTCTGCCTGCGAGTGTGCCCTGTACCTGGTGGGGACTCCAGGCCAGAGCTGGGCAGTATTCCCCAGTGCAGTGAGTGCCCAGGGTTCACTCATCACACCTGCCCTCCACGCGGGCATCTCGCCAGGGCCTGCACCTCTCCACTCGCAGGGCACAGGGTCATTCACATCAGGTGGCAGCTGCCCTGGGAGCAGGTCCCTGTGCCCTCCACACGCAGTGGCTCAGACACTGCCACATTCCCAAGAAGGCGGTGTTTCAAGCCACAACTGTCCCATCTGTGACATACAGTCATGCCTAGTCTGCTGTTTCCTGTGACCTGACATCCCTCTTTCCACTCTGGCCATACCTGCTTCCCATCCCACGAAGAAATGGGCCTACTTTGGCTGAACAGCCCCAGAGCCACAAGAGGATAATTGGACCTCTCATCAAAAACCCTTCCAAGCTCCCAAGGATAAGTGACCATGACCTCACGCTGGCCCACACCCACAAGAATGGGATGACTGGAGCACAGGGTTAGGAAGCTGGATGAGAGTGCCCGGGGGTAACCTGCTTGCTTACTTCGCCCTGTGAGAAAAACTGAACAGGGCCTGTGGCCCAAAGGTCTTAAAACACACCAAAGGCACAAGAGATACTCCAGAAGGCCAGATCACCTGGCAGGGTGCTCCCAGGAGCCCCATGCGCTTGGTAAAGGTCATGTGAAGCATGCAGATTCCCAGCACCAACCCCGATCTACCACTGAACTGCATGTTCAGAAGCAGGGTCCTCAAAGGAGCTGTTTAACAAGTATCCCGGATAATTCTGATGCACACTAACACTGGGGAATCACTGAGATCTAACGTTCCTTTTGCAAAAGATCATCTTTAGGTCTTCAATCACTTATCTCGTCTATTGCTTCCTCCCAGAAAGTAAAACACGTCATTAACCAGAAAAAAACAACACAAAGAGAGCTGACAGACCACGTGCCTCTTAACGGAAGCATCAAGCCATCGATTTTTATTCATGTGAGCACGTCCTATGATTATGTGAACACGTCACATTCATCACTTTCCTTTTGGGTTTCTGGTTCACCATTCTTACCAACTTCCTTAAGTTACTACTTGGCTAATAATAAAAGGTCAGGAATAGACTCCAAGGGACAGTAAGAACACTGGCAGCAGAGGCCTCCCGCTAACCCTGCCAGGGTAGGAGTCTAACATCCTGAGGTCGGCCTGTGTCTACTTCATGCTCCGGCCGCAAGGTGTGTGATGCAGGGGGCGGGGGTGGGGGCGGGGGAGGCGGCGGCCAGCGGCCCCCCATTCGCAGCACAGGGAGGGGTGACAGTAGGCAGAGGCTTGGGCCATAGTGCCTGTGGGGACCACACTCACTGGGACGTCATCGACTCCATGCTTCTCTCCCTGAGTCTCCCCATCCCTCGAGGCCGTGTGCAACTCCTGGGGTGCCCTCTGCCTCCCCTCTCATGGCTTCCTGCACTGTTCTCACAGGGACTAGCTTCGCCCTTATCCACAGCCACCTGTCCCCCTTTAAGCTTTAGTTGGCTTGTCCCTGAGTGTGTGAGGCAGGAATAGAGAGTTCGATCCCAGGTATGCTGCAATCTCAGGCCCCGGAAACTTGAAGGGAACCTGAATCCTAACACATGCTCCCAGTTGTACTCACCATACCATTCCATTCCATTCAGTTGCTTTGAGCCACACAGCTTGTTTTATTCACCAAGAAATATATTCATCACTTATAAAAGCCATTAAAAAAAAAGCCACACGTTTAAGAAGACAGCAAAGCACATCACTTTGAAAAGGCTGACATTTTTTTTTAAACCGTCAGCACTTTAAACACCTAGAGGACTTTTTTCATTTTGTGCTTGTCCCACGGCAGTCAAGCTCAGAGGACAAAACTGTAGCTCATCAAACAGCACATGAAGACAGCCCAGGAGCCCTCATGCCTTTAGAAAAACAAAACAGCTTCTAAACCTCCATCAATTCCCCGGTGAAGGAAAACCACTAGAACATGCTAGATCCTTGGAATCTGGGGGTTTAGCACTTACAGTTCCATCACCTGGGAGTGACTCCAAGGATTCACAACATGGGTTTCAAACCAGCGTGCTATGAGGCTGGAGTGTGGACCAGTCACTGAGCTGACTTAGAACAGACCATCATCAACACAGCTCTGCTGCCTTCTACCTGTCTTCACATGTCGAGAGACTACATTTTTTAAAATTATTATTTTTTGTTTGTTTGTTTGTTTTTGGAAGGAGGAGGTAATTAGATTTATTTATGTATTTATTTAAATTTATTTCTTTCTTTTAACGGAGGTGCTGGGGATTGAACCCAGGACCTCGTGCACGCTAGGCACACACTCTACCACTAAGCTCTACCCTCCCCTGGGGAGAAGATACCGTAACTGCACCTACAAATCTGAGGATTCACAGAGGACTAGATGATGTACTGCCCGTGAATGTCAAGGACAACTGGAAATCAACTGGTTCCCTACACAGACAGGTCTGTTTTCAGGAAAAAGGGACCAAAGCACCAAAGCAGAGGATAAGAAGACTTTTCAGATGATTCCATACTCTTATGATAAGATGCTCTCTGCATGCATTCCTTTCATTAAACGTTTACCTTACATCAAGCATATGCTAGAGAGACGTTACATTCACTTTAAAAAGAGAAGACACGTGAGTCAAATAAAAGTGACTCGCTTGAGAGCAATAAGGGAGAAATGAACCTAAAAAAAAAATTCCATGCTAGTTTTAACAATAATTTGTTTCCAGAACAGGGAAACGTTTCTAACTACATTTGCACTCCGTCTTTATCAACTTCAGACTACCATGTCCTTTTCCAAAACTGTCAGTCACACACACACACAGTCACGTCTTGTGTTTGGATCTGCCCATCACGCGATCTTAGCCAGCCATTTCTCCAGGTCCTGGATGTCAGCAGAGCTGGTGTCCCCTCTTCCACCCTTGGCACTACACTCCAGGAACTCCACTTTGAGGGGCAGCTGTGAGAATTCAAATTCTTTGCCTTTCTTTCCCAGCTGAGCAGGAGCAGCGCTGGAACTGTCCAGTGTGCTGGGGGCAGCGGAACGGGTGACTCGTAAAGTATTGCTGTTGAGGCAAAAGGAAAATGAGTCAGGAAACAAAAAGAGCTTAATTTTTATATAATGATTAAAGGCCTTTAGGAAACCATATTAATTTCTAAATATTTCAGCATTCGTTTAAATACTTAATCATAAAACTGTTAATTTAGCTATTAAGATTATAGAGTTACTCTCTTGGAAAGACAGGCCAGGGGTCCAAGCTTACATGGCCAGATGATGGCAGGTCAATAACAAACCAAGGTCACACCAACCTTCTTTCAGCCTGGAGCCCTCTTCTACTAGGATTTCCTGCATGATGTCGTTTTAAAATGTATTTTAAAATTACATGCAATAAATATTATAAACCTTTATGTTTCTGAAAGTTAAGTGGGGATAAATAGGGTATTTATATTAATCTCGAGTCCACCTGGATACAGAGCTCAGAAATACACAAACTGCAGGTTTTCATATCCAGTTTGGGGATAATTACTCTCCAATATCTTCAGCCATTAAAACTTTCCCAGTTCAAGTCACTTAACTGCCACCTGCTGGCCCTAATAAGAAGTGCAAGCAACGCTCATTTGTCTGCTACGCACCTTCCTGCTAATCCAGGAGCAGAGGACAGGGTGACAATCTGCTCTCCTACAAATAAAGCATTTCTTGGTGCTGAAGATTTCATGAAAGTTAGTAAAGATTCCACAGGAAAAACTAAATACCTTGTTTAGAAAGACACACACATCTGGGAAAAGTATTTTAAAAAACAAATAATACAAAACTTAAGATATTACTTATTTCTTGGAGGAAAAAGAGAAAAGCATTTGGGGAGGAGTAACATGGGGCCTTCTAAGCAAGGTGGTGGGTCTGTGGGTGTTCATTTTACTATTCTTTAGACTCAATATATATGTCATATATACTCCCTTATATGTAAGGTATTTTACAATTAAAGAAAAACTTAAAAAGGGAAAAAAGCTAAAACATCACATGAATTCAGTTCTTGCCCTAAGGCCACGTAAAAATAGTAAACTCTGATTCAGAAGACTATGAAATGCACAAAGCTGAAGGGGCCAAATTCTTATAAACACAGGATTAAACTAAAATTAGACTCCTAATTCACCTGGTATTAACCTTTATAACTCTTTTAACATTTAATTTCACTGCTTTATAATATTTCTTTCTGTATAGTTTTTCTATGGCTCTTTAGAGTGAAAAGCAAATGGGCTAAGAAAAATGTGTTTTAAACATGGGAAGACTTGGACCATACTGTTTGAAAAATGCATACACAAATAATAGTGATCACTTTTTTCACAAAGGTAATTCTTAACTATTGCAACAGATGTAGGACAGAGACAAAAGCTTTCCCAGACACACAAACGCTGTGGGAGTTCATCACTACTAGTCCTGCCTTACAAGAAATGCTAAAGGGGCTTTTTCAAGGTGAAATGACACTAATTAACAACATGAAAACATATGAAAGTATAAAACTTGGTGTAACAGTAAAAACATACTAAAATTCAGAATAATCTCTAATAAGGGAGGCAGGAAGAAACTCGGAAAGTAACGGACATTTTTATGGCTTTGATGGTGGTGGTTTCACAGTTATATGCTTATCCCTAAATCGAGGTGTGTACATTAAGTATGTATAGCTTTCTAGATAGCAATTATACCTCAATAAAAAGGTTAATTTTTTTTCTTTTGATATTCAATTTGAAGGCATGATGTCTTTGGTAAATCTGATTGGCTAACTTTTCAATTATATATTAAAAGCTTAAAGCATATGGAATTAGGGGGGAGGGTACAGCTCAGTGGTAGTGTACATGCCTAGTATGCATGAGGTCCTGGGTTCAGTCCCCAGCCTCTCCATTAAAATGAATACATAAATAAACCTAAAGCATATGGAATTAAATATATTATTCTCTATTAAAAGGAAAAAAAAAAAGAAACCACAGAAAATGACAGACCAGAGCTGGTAAAATTTTTCTGTAAACAGCAATAAATTAAATTTATTTTGGGCTTGTGGTGACATTTAATCTCAGTCACGTATTTTTCTACTTTTCTTTTTTTCTTACTAGTCCTATAAAAATGTAAAGCTACTCTTCGCTTGCAGACCCTTAGCAGGGGTATGTCGACCCCTGAAGCAAATCGTCTTCTACTGGACTCTAACCTCCCGCGTACAGGAGCTCCATCACACTTCCTCCTATAGCCACACCCTAAGTGCAAGTCTCCGCATACACTAGATGCATTACAGGTGCTTGTCAAATGAATAAAGGAGAACGTAAATGACAGTGGGGAAAAATGTACTAAAAGTTGAATTTATACAACTTCCCCTCATTTTATTCTTTAATTAGAAGTGTCCTTACACAACAGCAATAAGAAAAAGTAACCTGCTTTGTTATAATGTTGATAGTATTTTCTAGGTAAGCAACCTGTTAGCTAGCTCTTAGAAAACAGTAACAACAAAAACATGTTAGATTCCTTAAAATTTAAAAGTTTATAGCTTAGGGGGAGGGTACAGCTCAGTGGTAAAGTGCATGTTTAGCATGCAGGAGGTCTTGGGTTCAATCCCCAGTTCCTCCATTAAAAAAATGGGGGGGGGTGGAGGGATAAATGGGAGACTGGGATTTGCAGACACTAACTACTATGTATAAAATAAACAACAAGGTCCTACTGTGTAGCACAGGGAACTATATTCAGTATCTTGGGAGGGTATAGCTCAGTGGTAGAGCACAAGCTCAGCATGCAGGAAATCTTGGGTTCAATCCCCAGAGTCTCCATCAAATAAATAAATAATAAAAATAAATTAATTAATTAACCTAATTACCTCCCCCTCAAAAAAAAATCTTCTAATAGCCTATAATGAAGACGAATATGAAAATATATATATAAAACTGAATCACTATGCTGTATATCAGAAATTAACACACTGTAAACCAACTATACTTCAATAAAAGAATAAAATAAAACAAATGAACCAAAAACAAAAGCTTACAGCTTAATTTACAAATTCTTAAATACCAAAATTAAGGTAAATGATACTGCTACATAGCTTAAAAACAAAAAGGTAAGCTACAAAACAGTATCATAGATGTTTACATTCTTCCAAAGTGTTCTTTTCTTATTCTGTCAACACAAACTTTCACGGCCTTCAAATTTTTTAATCTTTAAAATCTTTCATATCTGCTATAAATGAGCTGGAAACAATGGGAAAATAAACTGAGCCTACAGTCTCAATAAACTTGAGACCTTTCCACAAAAATTCTGAATATCTAGAAACATCCACATGAATAATTTTTATAATTCCACTAATCCTGTTGTCAGCTATTTAACAAGTACGTTTCACATCGATCTTCAGGCTAATTGTGACAACGATACACAACCAAAGATGCCGAGTGATTTATTCACATTTTCTAAACATTAAGAAGATATACAATTAACTAATAGGACTTATTCTTACTTACAGTTCTTTTTCAAGCTGCTGCTGAATTAACTTTGCTGATTTTGCCATTGTAATGTCTGCAAAGAAATAAAGACATTTTTGTAGTTTAAAGCAGAAAGGGTCTTTTCCCAAGATTTCTTGCACATATGGAAAATTCCTACTTAAACCAGTAAATTTCTCTGCCTCACCACTTTTTTAAAAGAGTTTTTTATTACTAGTATTTCCTGTATCAAAGTAAGCTTTATATTTGAGTATTTATATTATGATAATACTTATAAATATATTAACTTAGTGACCCTAAAATTGATTAGTTCTTTCACTAAAGTTTGCCACATCTTATAGACCTTTTAAATCAACCCACATACGTAAGTCCAGCCAGTTTAACAAAAAGAAAAACTACCAGCTTTGTGATTTTTAACAAGAGCCTGCAGTCCAACAGAAATACCCTACCTGTCATATACACCAGTCATACAATAGTAAACTAAGCACATTTCCAGCGGACTCTAAGGTGGTATGTTACAGCGTCAAGTGCACATTGGTAATAAACAAGCACTGATTTAACACCAGCAGAAGCCAAATAAACATTACTTCCTCTTCTTATACTGAACAGAAGAAATAAAGAAGTCAGGGGATGATCCTAAGGCTGATTACTGACTAGTCACTGTTACAGTTATTACTAGCTTGCCTCTGAGCAATGCACCGGGCTCCTCGTAGAATGAGAATATTAGATCTGAAAGAGGCCTATGAAGATCAAATAGTCTTTTTTCAGTCTTTTTTAGAAAAGAGGAGAGATTATGGCATTCATTATTGAGGTAACATGGTTTACAACATTATATACATTTCACATGTACAACGTTATGATCTGACTTCTGTGTACACTACAGCGTGCTCACCACCAAGTTTAGTTTCTACCCGTCACCACACAGTAGTGGGTGCTGGTACCTTTTTGGGTTAGTGCTTTCATTATCTTTAGATAAATACTCAGATGGTGGGATTGCTGGATCACATGGTAGTTCTATTCTTAATTTTTTGAGGAACCTCCACACTGTTTTCCACAGTGGCTGCACCAATTTACGTTCCCACCAGCAGTGCGCGAGGGATCCCCTTTCTCCACATCCTCCCCGACACTGGCTATTTCTCATCCTTCTGACAACAGCCATGCTAATGGGTGTGAGGTGATGTCTCACTGTGGTTTGGATTTGCGTTTCCCTGGTAATTAATGACGTTCCTCTTCACTAGTGCTGAACATCTTCACACGTGCCTGCTGGCCACCTGTACCTTTTCCAGAAAAAACATCTGTTCAGATCCTCTGCCCTTTTTAAAATCGTGTTGTTTGGGTTTTTGTGCTGTTGTTGAGTTATGTGAGTTCTTTAAGTATTTTGGGTATTAACTCCTTATCAGATGTATGATTTGAAAATATCTTCTCCCATTTGGCAGGTAGTCTTTTCGTTTCGTTGACGGTTTCCTGTGCTGGGCAGAGCTTCTGTTTGATGTGGTCCCACTTGTTCATTTTTCTTTTTGTTTGCCTTGCTTGAGGAGACAGATCCAAAAAGATACTGCTAAAACCAACGTCAGAGTCCAGACTCCCTGTTTTCTTCTAGCACTCTTACGGTTTCAGGTCTTACATTCAAGTCTTTAATCCATCTTGAGTTAATTTTGGGCTATGGTATAAGAAAGAGGCCTAGTTTCATTCTTTTATACACAGTTGTCCAGGTTTCCCAACACTGCTTACTGAGCACATTGCTCTTTCTCCGTTGTATGTTCTTTGCTCCTTTGTTGTCAATTAATTGTCCATATATGTGTGGGTTTATTTCTGGGCTTCCAGTTCTGTTCCACTGATCTGTGTGTCTGTTTTTCTGCTAATACCATGCTGTTTTGAGCACCACAGCTTTGTAGTATAATTTGAAATCGGGGTATGATACCTCTATCTTTGTTCTTTTTTCTCAAGATTGCTTTGGCTATTTGCAGCCTTTTATGGTTTCATACAAGTATTAGGAATTTTTGTTCTATTTCTGTGAAAAATGTCATTGGGACTTTTATAGGGATTGTTGCATTGAATCCATAGATGGTTAAAATAGTGTTAATTCTTCCAATCCACGAGCACAAAATATCTTTCCATTTCTTTGTCTTCCATTTCTTTCAACAATGTTTTACAGTTTTCAGTGTACAGGTTTTTCACTTCCTTGGTTAAATTTATTCCTAGGTATTTTATTCTTTTTGCTCCAATTGTAAATGGGAATGTCTTCTGAATTTCTTTCTGCTAGTTTGCTGTTGGTGTACAGAAACACAACAGATCTCTGTATACTGATTTTGTGCCCTGCAACTTGACTGTATTCATTTATTATTTCCAATAGGTTTTTGGTGGAGTCTTCTGCCTCTACGTGTCCAGGCCGCCCACCTTCAGATGTACAGACTTGTGGGTCTCTCCAGCATCCCAGTGTGCTGGACGTGGGAACTTCTGTTCAGTTACGGATGTTTTACTAGTTGCAGAATAAGGGGGAGAGACAGAGGAGACGCCTCACACCGTGTGATGCTGACATCCCTCCTAATCTGATCTTAAAGGTAGTGAAGCTGAAACCTAGTTTTACCGGGTGCCACTAAAAAGGTTCTCATGCTTATGAGGTTAAAGAAAAACAACTTCTGCAAACTCCCTTGGATGAAATGTGCTAAATGGCAAACTTATTTGAAAGGAGAGATTCCATCCAGTCCTTCCACAACTGTGTATCTGATGAGACGTACTGTCAGTCTGATGAACTTAATTTGGTAAAGTAAAATGATTTATAATTAAAAAAATAAAACATGTATCAAACAACAATTGATAATCGTCACTCCTTTGTCATTCCTGAGAACAGCCTGGTAATGAGACTAATGAAAACGCAGAAGTATAAATACATTTTAAGGCTTAGAATCCTTACGTTAAGTAGCTCATTAGCAATTGTCTGTCATCCTCAGTAATAACAATTGTAGATAATTGTATTAATTCTAACTAGCAATCCCAGAAATGTATCAATTATTATTGCCAGAAGACATGAGGATACCTTGCTTATTGCAAGCAATTAAGAATGATGGTGTGTTCTTCAGACCCATACTGTCAAGGAGGACTTGATACAGAAACTCGGCCACATCCTTCACCTCTCGCTGGAAGGATGCACTATCCACAACAAATACGATAGCCCTGAAGGGGGAAAAAAAAGAGTGAGCATGCAAAAGTGCAGTATTATACTGAGAAACAGGAGGAGGGTATACAGCTCAGTGGCAGTGTGCCTGGCATGTATGAAGCCTGGGTTCAATCCCCAGTACCTCCATTTAAACAAACAAACAAACAAATCTAATTACCCTCCCCCAAAAGAAACAAAGAAAGAAAAAGAAAAATGACATTCTCAATTTTGTCCAATTCAATCCTAATGAGTAATACAAAACAAACTCACACGCAGATGTGTGCACAAGTAATCACACAGCACAAATACTGAACAAAGGGCTACTGACTACTACTATGTATCAATGATTGTATCTAAAAAGACAACAGGAAATGATGCTTCCCCTCTAGTCCTGGAAGTTGTCATACACAAAACCATGTGATAAAACACTAGACAGATCTATGCATCCGCTGTAGCAGGAACAAACAAAAAGATCATTTACATAAAATCTGGTCAAGAAGACTTAAAGGTCAGCTGAATTTTAGCCAGACAAAAATTACTGTGGCACAGACTGTCTGGAAGGTAATATATTTAGGATACCAAGCAGTGGGACAATATGCCCTAGAGAACTCAAGGAAAGCTCAGGTAGCAAAGGGGTGTGACACACTGACCTACAGAGTTTATGCTTTTCTATCTTACAAAGAATATTGGTCCCTAAATGGAAGATAGATAAAACTAAAAGGATAATCAAATTAGAAACAATGTGACCAGGTAGGGTCAAACTCAAGGCAGAAACAGTGAGAATCCTCATGTGCCAGAAATGAAGACGTGTCAAAGCTAAAGCAAAGCAGTCCAGGAAAACAGCAGGTAACAGGCCTTAGAGATGAGGGTCGGAATGCCCAGGAGAATGTGCAATGGCCAATATGCAGTTGGAAAGCTGGAAATGAAACACTCTGTGCAAAGCCTAGAACTTAAAAGTAGTCTAGTGGAGAGCACTGTGGGAAAATCATCCAAGAAGAACTGAAACACCGGGTCGCCTGTGTCACACACAGATACAGGGTATGAATTTACACCTTCTCAGGGTCAGATGCCCAAGCAGGAAGAGTCATATAAAAATTGGGCCAGACTCAATGAACCCTTAGGCCCCCAATAGAAGGAAATATGAACCCCTTCTGGAGAGAGGCTTTCACATCCTAAATCAATAAAAAAAAACAGCAATCACAACATCAACAACAAAATCTAATTCCCGTGAATAAGGGGTCCTGGACCAAAAATTACAAATCACAGAAAATAAACCATTATGAGGAAGAACCACAAAAACAGATTAATCAGCACCCAAAACTAAAAATAATGAAGCAATTGATAAAATATTTTAAACTATTTAAGAGAATAGTAGACACCATAATAAAAGAATAAAGTTAGCATAAAAACAAACAGGCTGATTTTAAAAGATAGGTTTTTAGAAGTAAAGAATAAACAAAATTAATAACAACTCAATGGGAAAGTTAAGCAGAGAATACTCACAGTTGAAAAGCATACAGCAAACTACAAAACAAAGATGAAAACATCATACTATATGCACAGTAAAAAGACTTGGAAGATGTGACAGAGAAAAGGCAAGAAAGGCAGAAATGATATGGTTCAATGATTTAAAAAGAGTTCCAGGAGGTGAAACTGAGAATGTGGAAACAGAATAGCTGAAAGGATAACATTGAGAATTTTCCAGAACTGAATAGGTGACTCATTAAACTGAAACAGCACACTTGAATTCCAAGCATGACAAAACTTAGAAATCACCCCTGAACAGAGGTTAAAAAGACAGATGAAATGACAATTAGACTGCACACCTGCTTTCTCATCTACAACAGCAGATAGCTGAAGCCTTCATTGTGATGAAAGAAATAACTACCACCAGGATATTATATACAGCTAAAAGTTACTCAAAAATAAAGGCCAATGAAAAAACTTTCAAATGAACAAAAGGTGAGAAACTTTATGTCTTTTTCAGCATTTCTGGAAACACCTCAAAAAGAAAATTAAAAGAAAACTGAATCAAAAGGGAAGATTAAGAGTCAAGAAGTAATCAAGAAAAAAGAAATCCATATATATCCTGGTGATTCGAGGTAATCAACAAATAGAGGATAAAAATATTACTGTTGGGGGTTAAAAAGGAGGAAAGAAGAATAAAATGAAAGGAAGATGGAAGGAAGATCAAAGCTACGTATTTTAAGATTCATTTAAAGAAAATTGCTATTACTGATTTTAAACTTCTGCTAAGTAATCTATGTTAAAAAGAAGGGGGAAGGGCAGAGGATAACCATGAAAAGAGTAGAAATAGCATATTACAAACCAATAGAGGAGGTAAAAATGAGATTGAGGAAACTTGATGAACTCAGAAGGTAAGGCTAAAAACCAAGAAGTCACAGATCAATACACAGTTGACCCCTGAACAAGGTGGGGGTCAAGGACACTGACCCTCTACACAGTCAAAAATCTGTGTGTAACTTTACAGTCAGCACTCTGTATCCGAGGTCTGGCACTGGCAGATCCAACCAACCACAGACCATGTAGTACTGCAGTATATATCAAGTGAAAGAGAGCTGGGCCAAGATGGTGGAGTAGAAGGTGCCAATCTACACATAATAGGGGTCCCAGAAGGAGAAGAAACAACAAAGGGTATCAAAATGTATTTGAAGAAATCATTACTGAAAATTTTCCAAACCTAAAGAAGGAAACAGATATCCAAGTACAGGAAACACAGAAGGTCCCCAACAAGAAGAATCCAAACAGACCTACACAAGGGCACATTATAATTAAGATGGCCAAAGTTAAAGATTCTAAACGCAGCAAGAGAAAAACAAAGAGTTAGTTATAAGGGAACCCCCCCATAAGGCTTTCAGCTGATTTCTCTACACAAACATTGCTGGCCAGAAGGGAGAAGCAAGATATATTCAAAGTTCTGAAGATGAAAATCTGCAACCTAGTATCAGCAAGAATATCCTTTAGAAGGAGAGATAGAGAATTTTTCAGGCAAGCAAAAACTAAAAGAATACAGCAATATTAAACCTACCCGAAAAGAAATATTAAAATGTCTTCTCGAAATAGAAAAAAAGCCGGAAGCTATAGAAAAGGGAAAAATCACAATTGGAAATGTGATAACTACAATGGACTGCAAGAGGATAAACACGAAGATGTAAAAAGAGGACACAAAAATCATAAATTATGGGAAGGGGGAGCAAGAAAATGTACATTTTCCTTTCATTCTTCTTAAGATATGTTTCAGCCTATCTCATTACCAGTCTGAAGCAAAGAGATGTAGTACTGGGTTAACATACTTGAAAAATAGGGTAACCACAAATCAAAGTATACAACAGAGTCACAAAAACCAAAACCAAAACAACCCCAAACTAATACAAAAGAACTAAAGCACAAAAGGAAAAACAGAAAGAGAAAGGAAGCAACAAAAAAGAAATACAAATCAACTGGAAACAAAGTTTAAAATGGCAATAAACACACCTCTACCAATAATTACTGTAATTGTCAATGGACTAAATGCACTAATCAAAAGACACAGAATGGAAGACTGGATAACAAAACAAGAGCCTACAATATCCTGTTTATAACAAGTTTATATTATATAGCACAGGCAACTATATTCAATATTTTGCAGTAACCTATAATGAAAAAGAATATGAAAAGGAATATATATGTATATCTATGACTGAAACATTATGCTGTACGCCAGAAATTGACACAATGTAAACTGACTATACTTCAATTTAAAAAAAAGGAAAAAAATAATTGAAAGTGTACAAGTAGGCTCACACAGTTCAAACCCATGTTGTTCAAGGGTCCACTTTATTTAAATGACTTTTGAATTTGCATTTATGGTGATTATAACTTAAGTTCATTTGTATCTTCATATTTTGAATGTTTTAGTTACCCAAAATACTTGATTCAAAGAGTAATTACACTGAAAATTATTTTTAAAAACTTTATAAATGGAAACAGGAAAAGAAAAAAATTTTTAATTAGAAATTAAAACCCAATTATGGGAAAATTTATCATTTCTGGATTTGTATCATCTAAGGAATGAAAACTCACACAACCTTCAGTTTTCATTCCAGCATGAATGAAGTTGGAATTCACCACTGCATTCTAACAATAAGTAAAAAACTGACCAAACTGAAAAATCAACAGCACTTAGAGTCATCAGAGAAGTGAGGTTATCAAATGGTCCAATTCCTTGAAAGACACCATCTGCCAAAACTCACAGAAGAAACAGACAATCTGAATAGCCCTAAATCTAGTAAAGAAACTGAATCAATAACCAAAAACCTTCTAAAACAGAAATTACTAGGCACAGGTCGGGTGACTAGTATATCCTATCAAATGTTTAAGGAAGTTGATACAATGTTACATGTCAAATATATTTGATTTTTAAAAATTAAGAAAGAAATTATACCAATTCTCTACAATGTCTTTCAGAAAGTAGAAACACAGGGAATATTTCCTTACTCATTCTATGAGGCCAGCGTTACTTTAATGACCAAAGACATTACAAGAAAGGAAGACTACAGACAAATATCTCTCATGAATAGAGATGCAAAAATCCTTTAGAAAGTATAGCAAATCGAACCCAACAACATATAAAAAGAATTATATAAGCCATGACTAATGGGTTTTGGACCCAATTCCAACGTGGGGGATGGGGGTTTCCCACACCAGCAACCAGTGCTCCTGACACCAGCTGGGTGTCATACAATTCAGTGCAATTCCGACACTATCTACGTGGATAGCATCAGATTCCACAGGTTAAGAGCTCGGTCCTACAACACTGCCCTCCACTTCAGATGCCAATCACAAGCCCAGATCATTACCTGTGCTCTTTGACCAACAGGCTACAGATTGGAAGGTCTCACAACTTCGTCCTTTGATCTGATTAATTTGGTAAAGTGGACCTCAGATGCCTGTCAAAAGTCCAGGTTATTACCTGGACTTGTAACTGACTGGCTACAAATCAGAGGTTCCCATGACCACACCTCACCTTCTTGGATTCAATTAATTTGCCTGAGCAGCTCACAGAACTCAAGAAGCCCATTTATTCACTACCAGTTTATTGCAAAAGATATTAAAGGATACAAAGCAACAGCCAGATGAAAAGATACATTGGCGAGGTCAGGAAAAAAAGGATGTTTTGTCCCTGTGGAGTTTGGGCCCTGCAGGGTGGCACGTGGAAGCATTCTGGTTCCCCAACCTAGAAGCACTCTGAACCCTATCCTTTCAGGGTTTAATGGAGGCACAATTATATAGCATGGTTGATTGAATAACTAACCACTGGTAATGGAGTCAAACTCCAGCCTCTCCTCTCCTCTTCCCAGATGGGAATAGAAGTTTCAACCCTCTAATCACATGGTTGGTTCTCCTGGCACGCAGCCCCCATCCTTAGGTGCTTTCCAAAAGTCACCTCAATACATAACAAAACACAACTTTATCACTCACATCCCTTAGGAAATTCCAAGGGTTTTAGGAGCTCTTGTGCCAAAAATGAGGATGAAGACCAAATATATATTTCTCATCATAAATCACAGTATCACAACAACCAAGTAGTATGCAAGGCTGGTTCAACATTCAAAAATCAACTGACATAATTACATCCATAAACTAAAAAAGAAAAATAGATCCAAAAAAGCACTTGACAAAATCCAACACCCATTCATGATAAAAACTCCTAGTAAACTAAGACCAGAGGGGAACTTCCTTAACTTGATAAAGAATATCTACAAAAACCATATAGCTAACATTATACTTAATAGTGAAAAAAATCAAAGCTGTCCTGTTAAGACCAGGACAAGCAAGGATGTCCCATCTCACCACTGCTTTTGCAACATCGTACTGGAATTCCAAGCTAATGCATTAGGACAAGAAAAGGAAGTAAGAGGTATACAGACTAGGAAGGAAGAAATGAAAATGTCTTTGTAGCACATGAAATGACTGTCTGTGTAGAAAATCTGAAAGCATCAACAAAGCTCAGGAATTAACAAGCAAGTATAGCAGAATTGCAGGATACAAGGTTGACACACAAATGAATCGCTTACCCAAATATCAGGAATGAACAAATGGAATTTGATATTAAAAACACAATGCCATCTACATTAGCATCCTCCAAAAGGAATCTCAGGTATAAATACATCATACGATCTATATGAGGAAAACTAAACTATGAAACTCTAATCAACAAAATCAAAGTAGAACTAGAAAAGTGGAGAGATACTCCACGTTCATGGATAGGAATACTGGATAGTATCACGAGGTCAGTTCTTCCCAACTTGATCTATAGATTTAATGCAATTCCAATCAAAATCTCACAAACTTGTTTTGTGGATACTGAAGTTTATATGAAGAGGCAAAAGACCCAAAACAGCCAATACGATACCGTAGAACAAAGCTGGAGAACTGACATTACCAACTTACTATCAAACTATAGTAATCAAGACAACATGATATAAGTGAAAGATCAATATAACAGAATAGAGTCCAAAAAGAGAGCCTCATAAATAGTCATGTGATCTTTGACAGAGGAACAAATACAGTCTTTTCAACAAATAGTGCTGGAGAGTGCAAAACAAAACAAAACAAAAAGAGTCTAGATACAGAACTTACATCTTTCACAAAAATTAACTTAAAATGAATCACATACCTAAATGTAAACCAGAACTATAAAACTCCTAGGAAATAACACTGGAGAAAACCTAGATCATCTTGAGTTTGACAATGACTTTTAAGGTACAACACAATCCAAGAAAAGAGTCAATAAACTGGACTCCAATAAAGATAAAAATGTCAGCTCTACAAAAGTCAACATCAAGAGAATGAGAAAACAAGCCACAGACTGGGAGAAAATATTTGCAAAAGATATATCTGATAAAAGACTGTTATCCAAAATATGTAAAAACTCTTCAAACCCAACAGTAAGAAAACAACTCAGTTTAAAAAATGGGTCAAAGATCTTTACAGACACCTCACTGGACAAGATTTAGATAACTTATAAATAGCAAATAAGTATACGAAAAGATGTTCCACGTCATATGTCATTAGGGAAATGCAAAATAAAACAATTAAATACCACTACATACCCATTAGAATAGCCAAAATCCAAAACGCTGACAACACTAAACGCTGGGGAGGATGCAGAGCAAGTGGAGCTGTCACTCAGCACTGATGGGAATACGAAGTGGTACAGCCACTTTGGAAGACAGTTTGGTGACTTCTCACAAAATTAAACACACTCTCACTATATGATTCTGTGATATCTGCTCCTTGCTATTTACTCAAAACTTTATGTTCACACAAAAACTAACTTTATTCATAATTGCCAAAAATTGGAAGCAACCAAGATGTCCTTCAGTAGGTGAATAGGTAAATGAACTGTGGTACAGCCAGACAATGAAACATCATTCAGCACTAAAAAGAAATGAGGAATCAAGCAATGAAAAGACCCGGAAAAACTTAAATGCACATTACTAAGTGAAAGAAGGCAGCGTGAAAAGGCTACATACTGTATGTTTCCAACTATATGACACTCTGGAAAAGGCAAAACTATAGAGATGGTAAAAAGATGAGTGGTTGTCGGGTTAGGGGAGAGAGGGATGAACTGACAGGACAGGGGATTTTTAGGGCAGCGCAACTACTCTGTATGGTACTGTGAGGGTGAATACATACCATTATACATTTGTTCAAATTCCTAGAACATACAACATCAGGAATGGATCCTCACGTAAAATATAAACTCTGGGTGTTCATGACCTGTCAATTTAGGTACACTGATCGTAACAAATGAACTACTTCGGTGGAGGATGCTGATAACAGGGGAGGCTAGGCCTGTGTAGAGGTGAGGTTATATGGAAAATCTCTGTATCTTCTGCTTAATTTTGCTGTGAACCTAAAACTGTCTAAAAATAAAGTTTGGATTTTTTTTTTAAATCAAGTAACAGTCTTATTTATGATAGATTGCTCATCACCACCACCTTGTGGACAAGGAAGCAACAAGAAAATACAAGCCAAGGTATCTTCAAAAATAAGGAAGGAAAAAACTAGCTCATTCCATCAAACCAAAGAGTCCATCAAATAAAAGACATATTATTATTTCAGGTACAACTAAGAAAGAAAATACTGCCAATTAAACTGTAACACCGTCAACTGTAAGTAGCATTCCAAATAGATATTAAAATGTGTCTTAAAATCCATGAGAGGTGGTATTTTGATTTCCCTCAAGTTCTTACCAGTGTTAGAGACGAAAAAAGAATAAAGTGTCTTAAACTGAAGCATGAGAAATTTAAGAAATGAAAGAGTAACACAAGGATGATACTAAAAGAAATATGAAAATATTGTTCTGTATGTTTCAGGCATCAATTTTAGACAATCTAAGGATAGAAATATATAATGTTGGATTTTAATAACTTCCAGGATTCCACCTAGCTTTAAAATTCTTTTTTCAGTTTTAATAGTTCTACACATTATCAAATCTGTCCTCAGAGTAAATAAAAAATTTATCAACAGGATAATAAGCATAAATGCTTTCTGAACACTCTGAGAAACACTTTCAAACATTATCTTACATGATAATGTGAAAGTGGGCTTGCAACCCAGAAACGGCTGACCCCAGGGTCCATGCTCTTTCCACTCCAGGACACCAGGTTGCCTCCCAAAACCAGAGGAAAAACAACACAGGTGTCCTCTATGTACAAAGTTCAGACAAGCTCATTTCACTTCCTACTTACCTGGCTGAAGCCTTAAACCGCTCTAAGAACTGAAGTCTCAAGCTCTCATGGCCAGGGAGGTCAATCAAGGTCAGGCTAGTCCCCTAAGGATGGCAGCAACAATATTAAATTCATGTTTCACCTTGATTCACATCCATAACATAAATCATTCATTTCAGATCTCAGGTATTAGAAATGTAACCCAGTTAATTAATGAACCAAGAGTCACTGTAACTAATTAATGAATCAAATAAAAAACATATTACTATTTCAGGTACATCTACGAAAGAAAATACTGCCAATTAATGAATCAAACAAATGTTCACAGAGCGTCTCCTATTTACAAATCATTAGTGGAGACTCTGGGGATTTAACAATGTGCAAAATCAGACGTGGTGCCTGCTCTAACAGGGCTTATAATCAGAAAGATCAACACAATATGAAATTACATATAAATGTAAAATTACAACTTTGATAAATGTTCTAAGGGTACAAGAGAAACTAACCCTGTCTGGGGAAATTAGGGAAGTCCATGTGAGGCTGAGGCTGAGGAAATATACCAGTATGAATAAAAGCAAAACCAGTAATAAATATTCACAAACTAAATAATGTAATATAAGAACCTACACTCCATCATATAGCGTGTTGCCACTACAGAGACCCCTAACCTTTATAAAAACAAAACATTCCTTCATATTTCTACCATAAGTTAATTTTAAAATGTATGCCACTAGACAAATCATTTATTTGTTCCAACTTTGTTAATATTTTGTGTCAATTCTTGATCTAGGGGACAATCATCGAACAGGGTGGGGCTGTCCCCCTACTGAGCAGACTCGTTAAGCACCCACTTACATGCTGTTCTTTCCAGGCCTTCATTCTTGAACTCAAGTTCAATGCAGATGTGACTATGCTCAATGATAAGGCTCTCAGGTTTAGCCCTAGAACCTGCATCAGACTCATGCATCACCTCTCAGATGCTCTGCCTTCTCCACAGACAGCCTCAATCGCTATTCAGCAGGAGGGGGTCAGCACTATGCACAGATATGACTTAATTACAGCTGGATACATTATGAACTGACACTTAATCTGAGCAGTCTTTTATAGGTAAATATACGATATGTATTAGCCTTTCTTTTAAAAAATACTGGTAAGAGTCTAGGGACCTTAGGCTGGGACCCACTACCACATTTCATAATCAGCACCACACCACATACCATGAACAACTCATAAGCTACAACGCTAGGTATGTTACTGTCTTGAGAGACTAGACCTAAAACATAAAGGGGGTAGGAGAAAAAAGAAGGGAGGAGTGTTTTACATATGCAATAGAAACATGCAAGTCTCATACGTAATGTTAAGTTTTCTAATAGTCATATTAAAAGAGAAACAGGTCAAATTTTTAAAACATATATTATGTAATCCAATGTATCTAAAATATTAGATTTAAAATATTATTTTTTAATATATAATTTAAAACTCAAGAAATTATTTATATTTTACATTCTTTTTTTCCTTCCAAATCTTCAAGACCTGGTGTATATTTCATACTTACAGCACCCTTCAACTTAAACTAGTCACACTTCAGGTGCTCAGTAGTCACACCGTGGCTACTGTATTGGAAAGTACAGGTCTAAAGCATACCCTGGAATACCCTACTTTAAAAAATCTGGTACAAATGCCTAAAGAATTAAAGAACTCCCAAACTTGAAATCTGAATCCTTGGGGGTTTCAAAAAATCTGAGCCATAGAGAGTGCCATTATTAAAAAAAAGAAAAAAAAATCTAAGACATTGAAAAGAATGTCTCTTTTCCTTTGCTTATAATGAATGGTTAATTCTGGAGGGAACAGAAAAGAGTCAGGGGGACCCAAGGAGAGAGGGAAAAGGTTCCTAAGGTCAGCATTCTAATTCACCCATCTATACATCCACTCCAACCAGCCATCCACCTTCCCTCCACTCACTCACCAAATACTTCTTAAGCATTATTATCGACTTGGCAGTCACTGTCTAATTCTGGAGACACACAGGTACATAAAAAGTCCTTTCTCATGATTCCTTATTGGTACTTTTGAAATATACTCATGTATACTCTTTAACAGAGCCATTGTAACACTTTGTAAAAGCAAAAGATTGTAACAACAAAAACTGTATGTCTGTTAATAGGTCTCTTATTAAATAAAGCCTTAATTGTATGGTACAGCCACAAAATGGAATACTAGGCAGCGCATAAATCAACCAGGTAGTACTATGTATGCAAACGAGGGGGAAGAAAAGGAAAAACAAACGCAAGTAGTATCAGCAGTATCAGTCATATTGTTAAATTTTTAAAAAAGGGGGTGGGGTGGGAGACAGAACAGTGTTAAAAAAGGAAAAAAGTAAAGGATAAACACATATAGTTATACAGCACAGACCACCTGGAAGGCTACACAGGAAAATGGTAAATTACTTCTAAGGAGAAGAGTTAGACTTTTCTAAGACCTTATATTCAAAACATAAATGAGAAGAAAAAGGCTTAATGCTCACCCTTAAGAACTCATGGTAAAGCTGGAAAGAAGACAGAGAAACAAAAACTAATAAAATGCAGTGCATGAGATACAAAAGCAGGGGAGGGCAGGAGTAAGTCTACTGCTTGGATGGCCAAGGGTAGAATTTGTCACATGGACTATATTTATCCATAAAAATAAGGTATAAATGGTACCTACGCCCTCAGAGTAATTCATCCTAGAAATGTCTTCTCCTGACAAACCGAAGTAAAACTGTCAGACCCCCAACATTCTCGGAACCCCTTACCCTGTTATTGTTGACTCTGTATGCAGCAGAGCTGTCAGTGATGGAAGTCTGAGTGTCTCTGTAAAGGCCTGTTAACAACTGTAAAAAAAAAACAAAACAATGTGTCAGAGATCAGAGTAGACATACATAGCAATCTAAAGTAAGCATTTTTGCTCTAAGTGTTAGATCAAATACATGAATGTTGCTTGCAACAGCTGAAAGGGACCATACTGATTTTCTTCCCTTTGCTTGTAGAAAAATCTACTTAATTGCAAACTTCATTCCCCTCTTCCCAATGAAAGAAGCAAAAAAACTATGATTTTTACATTATTATTTTCAAATAACAGCTTCAAGTGGTTAGTGGCCAAATTTACTGACCTTCCATTAACATTTCTAAACATCTTTGATGATTAGAAATTATATTTCTTCAGTGGAAGGGAAATAATTTATACTCTCAAAGAGAAGAGTAATGGGGGAGGGTACAGCTCAGTGGTAGAGTGCATGCCTAGTATGCATGAGGTCCTGGGTTCAATCCCCAGTACTTCCATTAAAAAATAAATAAATAAACCTAATAACCTCCCCCCAAAAAACCAAAAAAGACTATTTTTAAAATAAAAATTAAAAATAGAAAAGTAATAAGGAGAAAACCTCTGCTACTCTCTGTAGCAAAAAAGCAAACATTTAAACATGCTAAATAGACTAAAAATAAACATTAGTGAAAATAAGCCTAATTAGCCCAAGATGTTGAGAATCCCCCTTTAAAAAAGTTTCTTTGACAAACTCTCAGAAGAGTTTGTCACAAGAGTTACACACTGTATGACGATTACTGTCTTGTATCTTTTCAGCTGTTCTGGCATCCTTTAGCCACAGCATGAAAGTAGTCAATATATAAAATCTTTAAATGGGATAAAGGCTAAATGTCAGTATCTGGCAAGTGCAAAAAAATCCCAGGAATAATGGGATGCCCTAAAATTTCCTATCAAGTTTAATAGGAGAGGTGTAAATCACAGCATTTACTCGGACAAAGAGCAATGTTTTCCCGGAGTCACAAAGGCCAACAAGAAGAACGGCTCTTTGACTGCTCCTTCTGCTCCGGATGAACTTCCAGAACACTGTGGAATAAAGAAAACCAAAATTATGCCTTGATTGTCAACAATCCCCGTGTACGGCTGGGTCCGGGGAAATTAACAGAAGTCTACCACAGAACACTTCTTTCATTCCAGAACTTACTTTCACTGTTATTACCAGCATTGTAATCGTTGCTGTAGTCGTTAGGAGATCCGCTGAGTGTCAGCCACTATCAACTGTCAACTTTTCTGTATCTGCAGCCCCTATCCCAACTGTGTACTACTCAAGCGCAGTCTTGCCTTATTAACTTCGTACCCCAGCACCCAGCTCGCAAACACCGAACGCTCAAACTTGGAGCAAAGACCCTTTAAGTCTAGTAGTAAGAGCAATAGAAGTCGGGGGTGCGGGGCGGGGATCGCGCTCAGGCGGAACAGGGGCTAGTAACCCGTACCCAAGGAGCAGGAAGTCACTCCGGGGGTCGCGGAGGATCCCCTTTAACATAGAGCTGTTTCTACCGCTTCAGGCAGGAGAGCAGGGTGGTATAAGGGGTGGTCTCCCTCTCCAGACGCCCCCCAGGTGCCATCTCTGCCCCGCGTCCGCGGTCTGCACAAGCCCAGTCCTAGCCCGGATCCCCGCCCGTCCTGCACCCGCCACATCCATCGGCCGTCTCTTTACCTAGGGTCAGCAGCACCGCGAGGAGCGCCACCACGACTGACAGCAGCGTCGGGTCCCTCTGCTGCAGCTCCTGCCGCAAGGAGTCCAGGTAGGGCTGGAAAGTGCCCCCGGCACCGCCGCCATCCCCCACCCGCCGGGAGTCCGCGGAAGCCATGGCTGAGATGCGTGGTATCCGGCACCGCGAAAGCAACGTGGCCCTGGGCTCTGCGCAGGCGTGCGCAGCGGAGCATCACGGGAGTGGTAGTTCCTAAGTTGTATTTCCTCCTTCAGAGGCCGGAATCCCGAAGGTCCTGATGGGAGTTGTAGTTCTCTTGGACTTCGGGCTTCCGCCGAAAGTCTGGGCAGCCAGCCACAGGTGTGTGAGTCAAATGTCGCCGCTCTCTTCATGATTCTTGACAAAATGATGGGTGAATAAAATGAATGACTCAAGAAATCTTTATTGAGGATTTCCAGTCGCTCCATTTGGGAGGTGAGTCTTATGAGGAACTCAAGCATTACACAAACATTTCATCTGAATATAATGTGGCACGGGGTGACAGAGGATGTAAGTATCGATTTGAGAATGCAAGAAGGAACGCTTAGTCCATCGTAGGTTCAGAGAACAGTTCCTGGAGAAAAATGCTAGGAACTGAGCCAAGAAGGATCCGTTAGCCTCTTCAGGCGTGACAGAAAAAAGGGTGCTCTGTGCAGAAGAAAGTGAGCAATTTGATGTCCCCACACTGTAAATCTAGGGCTGCAACTGAAATACCTACATTAAGGGAAGCAGCCAGGAAAATCCATAGGAGGGGTGGGGATGATTGAAAACTGCAGCTGTCACTCCTGCCCAAAGGAGGCAGCCACCACTCTGCCAGGCAGGTATGTGGGACCACGGTGGCCAGTTCTTCAGTTTTTCAAGATAAGCCAGAAAGAAAGGTTTTTAAGGGAAATTTCCCACTTTTCAAATTTCAGCAAATAATAAGAACTTGTGGCCCAAATAAAACACCTCATCGGGTCAGAAGTGGCCAGCCTAGGGGCTCTGCCGGTTTTCAGTCTCTGTCATTAGCAGGTGTCTTTGCAGCAGAAGTGGCAGAAGATGAAACAGGAAATGTTGGCAAAAACCAGGCCTGAAGGGAATGTGTGCTATGCTGAGGAACCTAGGCCTTATCCAGAATGCAGTAAGAATTTTCGGTTGGAGGTGAGATTGATGATTGTCAGATCAATGGAGAGCTGTGGTTTGAGAGAAAAAAGACTGGGGGTAGGGAGACTAGCTGGAGACTATTGCTGTATTTTGACAAATGAGGCACAGGGGCTGAGCCAGGGACAGAGGTAAGTGTGGAAAGGCAGCCACAGCTATGAGAGATATTTAGAAGGAAAATATATAGGATTTGGTGATTAACTGGATATGCCGAGTTAAGAAGAAAGAGAGTTATCAAGACTGCATCTGAAGCAATTGGTGTGCATTACTGGGAAGATCAAAGTGCTTAACATAAATTAGAGAATTCAGTTAGAGGGACTTTGGAGCTGGGAGCAGAGCAAGGATGAAAATCACCTCTCTTTTGTGTATGTGGAGTTTCCAGTGACTCTGGGGAATCTAAAATCGTATATCAAGCAGGTGATACAGTGAACAAATGTGAGGTTTCAGCAGTAGGTGCTATTTTCACTTGGGAGTCATATGTAAACAAGTGGTCATTAAATCATGGAGCTCACGAAGAGTGAGGAGGAGAGGGGACCACACCAAGAAGCCTAAGAAGGGAGAGTCAGTGACACAGGAGTAAAATACGTCCTGGAAATAGTCAGCAGCATCTCTGCAACAGATGATGAGGCTTGAATGAAAGTGGGCTCAGGGGAAACATCAGGGTGAGGATTGGGAGGAGGGTTATGGAAGCAAGACTGTAGGAGGTAGAGAAAAGGGTGGATCATGAGATTAATTACTAATGTTAATGAGTGCTTGCTAGTTCCAGGCATTGTTCTAAATACTTTATTAATGTGTATAATCCTCACAATGACCCACTATCCTAGTTTTACTGAAGGCAAACTGAGATGGGGGTTAAGTAACCCACCTGGTGATCCCAGGCAGTTAGGCGCCTTTATACGCTCTGACACAGCACAATTCATTTTCCAGGCATTTTGTTGATAAAGGTGGGCAACAGGGACTCCAGATCAGGGAAGGATGTTTAGGATGTGAGGTTAAAGGGAGTAAACCAACTACTATATTTTAAATTAGCATTATCAATTAAAAGTATCAGAACTGACAGTAATCTTACCACATTCTATTTCTTTTCTTTCTTATGGTCCCGATCCCTGCTCTGTATCCCCCACCCAACACACACACACACACACACACACACACACACACACACACACACACGCGTGCACACACAGCTCCTTTATAACTTCTCTTAGGGACTAAAAATGCAGGGAAGAGGGGAAGGACCAGACATGGAGAACACCTGCTGTAACTGGGCTGACTGCATAAGGATTTGTAGTCAGAGCTCTGTGAGTGGACAAGTGCTATGTTTTGCAGTGAAATTTGGGCATGAAGAAGGAAGGGTTTGATATGATAAGACAGGGTCATATTGTTTTTTCAGTTTGTTTCCTGGGTGTTATGAAGTCAGAAGAAATGTGCACACCTTCCACATTCGAGTGAGGAGGTGGTGCCACCATGATCAGGATGGAGAGCAGGAGAGGATGGTGTCAGCAGCTTCCTGTCCTCTCACATCTCCACCCTGAGGGTTCCACAGCCCCCCGGGGGCTCTATGGGGACGAGTGTGAAAGAAGGACTCCCAGATACTGACTGCTGCTGGCTGAACGTGCTCTGCTCCCTGCTTCTAACAGCAGGTGGAGAGTTACAGCAAAACCAATACAGATAATTTTTCCTTCTCTTCCACTAGTTAAAATGGCTCATTCACTGGATACATTTTCCCTCTTCTGTACCCAGTAGCTCCAAATCACAAAACAGAGCCTATCTCAGACTCAGGGACACCAATCATGTGACTCTCCTATCCTGGTTTATCTCTTTAACTCTGTTTCTTTGAAAAAATAGAGCATTAAAAAAAAGAATTAAAATGAGACATGTTTACTATATTAAAAACTCAAGTAGTAATGAAAGATGAAAGAAGAAAGCCACAAATCACCTTAGTTTTTATACCTATAGGGTCTGGTGAACATGATTGCAGACATTTCTCTGTACAGATGTACTGACAGGAAGGCAGTCTAATGGGAGGAATAAATAAAAATGAACAGAAATTATTTTCAGAGACTATAATATACATTGCTGTGTTCACAGTCCCGAGAGCAGTGCCTGGATCATAGTAGGTACGCAGTGCAATGCCGATAAAATTAGATTTGTTGACTCATTGCAGTAAGACAGACTGAATGCCAGAGGAATGGTGGGGCATCTCACCAAACAAAGGAAAAGAAAGAGTTATCATAGAATTTAGGGTGAGGATGGAGTTTGGGTGGATATTGCATAAAGTCAAGTGTTGCTAGGCTCAAAGAAAAACAGGGCTGTGTGTGAAAATGTGAACATCAGGTCTGGACTGCTAAGTGGACCCACGGTCTGTTTCCTTGGATACTAGAAAGTTGAGAGATGGGGACTTTTGGGTCCAGAAACCCCCTACCTGCAGCTCTGCCCCTGAGTGTAAATTGAGGCTGTGGTAGGAATTAGGGAATGAAGGGGCAAACCGCAGAGTTGTTTAGAAGACACATTCAACAGCACTTGCTGACATTGGATGTGGAATGAGGGAAAATAGCGAATTGAAATTTGACTCCTCGGTTTACGACTCCTGTGAGTGGGTAGCAGACCATATCTTTAACTGATATGAAACACATGGAAACAACAGTTGGATTAGGGAGGCAGGAGAGGGAAGAGGCAAGATGATCACCTCGCTTTTTATTTGTTGGACTTTGGATTTCTGTGAGAACTCTACAGTATCGATGCCCAGGAAGGAGGAGGTATGAGTGTGAGACACTGGAGGCAGGGATCAGAACTATAGATATAGATGCCCAGGAGGCATTCTCATTCCTTAGGGAGGGTTTGGAAAGTGAGAAGAGCACTGGATCAAGAGAAGGACCCCAGGAAGATTACCCTGCGATTCCAGAACTGGTAGGATGAACCCACAGTAAGACCACAAATGGACAGAGAGGTAGGCACCAAAGCAGAGAGCTGCCACCTCAGCGAAGCTGGGGTGAGTTCCAAGGAAGGGTGAACAGTGTCAACAGACTCCGGGATAAAAGAACTGAAATTGGTTTTCACAGCTGGCAGGTGGATGGTGACCTTGACCAGCGTAGCTGCGGGGGAGTGAGTAGAGCAGAAGGCTGATTTCTGTGTGTTCAGCCTTTAACAACAAGTGAGGTGTGGACAGAAAGAGGCTCCACCTTTCAGGAGCTCCACTCAGAAGGGGAGGAGATGGGGCAGTGGCTGCTGTGGGAATCGGGGTCCAGGATGATTTTTAGCAAGAAGAATTTCCAGTGATTCACTTTTCCAAGCCTTAAGGGTCAGGGCTTCAAGTATATTTGATGAAATGTATTAAAAATATTTTTTAAATATTTAAATCTGTATTCTTTTCCTCTACTGCCTTGAGCACCCCATCTCAATACTCACCCCACATCCCCCTTCCTGCCCCTTCCTAGCAACACACACACATACACACACACACACACACACACACAAACACACGCACAGCCATGTGCAATTGATTCTACTATAATGATATTATAATGACCATGCAGATCCCTTTTAGAAAGAATTGCAACTGGGACTGTACCCAGAAGGTGTGGCTGTGGCAAAGTGCAGACGGATCTTGAGCTCTGAAGGAAGAGCTAGTTGCACGTGTGTTTAGTCAGATTAAAGAAATTCTTTCAGACCAAACATTTAGGAAAAAATGAAATTTTAAAAAGATAAAACCAATAATAATTTTTATTTATTTTTTTGTCCTGCAGAGGTACCACCACCAAACTGTGAAGGCAACCAAACCACTCGAGCCAGCAAACCCAGGGGGAAGCATATGCGTCATATGAGCTCCCATCTCCAGCAGGTGGTGGCCCCCAGTCTTGGATTTTAATCTCTGTGGAAAGTGCAGGCTTCCAGGAGTTCTGTGGGGGCAAAGCAGAGAGGTAGGACAGTTAAAATCTACCTGTATTTATTTTCTGTTGAGTGAATTAACAGTTAAGCCTGATAAAAAGGTACTCAGACCTGTTGCCCTGCTCTTCTGATGGGTGGACATGGCCATTCCCCCAGTGGCCTCCTCCTCCTCCCTGCGCAGCCCCTGTACCAACACCGGGCCCCACACCAAGGATGGTGACATGATTTCCCTGCCCCACATCATCCCCTACCTTGTGTCTTATGAATGGGGCTCCCACACCTGAGTCCATGTGGCTGGAAGGAACCTAGGAGGACTCCTCTCTGACCTCTTCTTTAGTCAGGTGAGGAACTAACATAAGGAGATGCGCTAAGCACCCAGCACGTGTCGGCTTCCATGCTAGGGGCTGGGGATGGAGCAGGGTCCAGCAGAGTCAGAGTCTCCCCCATCACGGACGATATAGGTTAGGTAAATATAACTGGGGTGCTCACAACAGTGGCCATGGACAAGCATGTTCCTTACACTAGAATTATGTTGACAGCTGTTAAAATGCAGAAACCCTGAACCTGCCATAGACTTGCTGAATCAGTATCCCCAGGGCCTGGGAATCAGTATCTTAAGGACCGTGGCTCATGGACCTGGACTCTGCAGCCGAAGAATACTCGCCCTATAGCTACACGGTATTCTCCCACGTCTTCCAAATGATTCCACGTGATGAAATGATGTGTGTTTCACCGTCTTCTAACTCTTAGAAAACTGATGTCCTAGATGAGTTCAGGCACATCTCATTTTATTGTGTTTTCCTTTATTGCGCTTCACAGATACTGTGTTGTTTTTTTTAACAAATTGATGGTTTGTGGCAGCCGTGTGTCCAGTAAGTCTATTGGCGCCATTTTTCCAATAGCATTTGCTCACTTCATGTCTCTGTGTCACATTTTGGTAATTCTTGAAATAGTTCAGGCTTTTTCATTATTATTATGGTGATCTGTGATCAGTGATCTTTGATGTCACTGTTGTTAAACTATTTTGGGGCCCCACCAGCCATGCCCATTAAGACAGCAAACTTAATCGATAGATGCTGTGTGTGTTTTGGCTGCTCCACCAACACAACAGTATTGAAATTAAGCCAGTGAATAGCCCTACAATGGCCTCTAAGCGTTCAAGTGAAGGGAAGAGTCACACAAGTCTCACTTTAAATCGAAAGCTAGAAATGATTAAGCTCAGTGACGAAGGCATGTCGAAAACCAAGATACGCCTCTTGTGCCAAACAGTTAGCCAAGTTATGAATGCAAAGGAAAAGTTCTTAGAGGAAATTAAAAATACTACTCCAGTGAACACAGAAATGATAAGAAAGCGAAACAGCCTTATAGCTGATATGGAGAAAGTTTTAGCAGTCTGGATAAAAGATGAAACCAGCCATAACATTCCTTTAAGCCAAAGCCTAATCCACAGCAAGGCCTGAACTCTCTTCACTTCTGTGAAGGCCGAGAGAGGCGAGGAAGCTGCAGAAGAAAAGTTTGCAGAGGTTGGTTCACGAGGTTTAAGGAGAGAAGCCGTCTCCATAACATAAAAGTGCGAGGTGAAGTAACGGGTGCTGATACAGAAGCTGCAGCAAGTTCTCCAGAAGACCTCGCCAAGGTAGTCAGTGAAGGTGGCTACACTAAAGGACAGATTTTCGATGTTGATGGAACAGCCTTAAATGGAAGGAGACGCCATCAAGGACTTTCATAGCTAGAGAGGAGGAGTCAGTGCCTGGCTTCAAAGCTTCAAAGGACAGGCTGCCACTCCTGTTAGGGGCTAATGCAGCTGTTGACTTGAAGATGACGCCAATGCCCATTTAGCGTTCTGAGAGTCCTACAGCCCTTAAGAATTATGCTCAGTCTACTCTGTGTGTGCTCTAGAAATGGAAGAACAAAGCCTGGATGACAGCACATCTGTTTAAAACATGGTTTAGTGATATTTTAAGCCCACTTTTGAGACCTGCTGCTCAGAAAGAAAGATTCCTTTCAAAATATGACTGCTCCCTGACAGTGCACCTGATCACCCAAGAGCTCTGATGGAGAGGGACGGCGAGATTCATGCTGTTGTCATGCCTGCAACACAGCACCCGTTCTGCGGTCCATGGATCAAGGAGTCATTCCGACTTTCAAGTCTTATTATTTAAGAAATACATTTCATAAAGCTATAGCTGCTATAGATAATGATTCCTCTGATGGATCTGGGCACAGTCAACAGAAAAGCTTCTGGAAAGGCTTCCTCATTCTCGACACCATTAAGGACATTTTTGATTCATGGGAGAGGTTGGAATATCAACATGAACAGGTTTGGAAGAAGTTGATTCCAACCCTCATAGATGACTTTGAGGGGTTCAAGACTCCAGGGGAGGAAGTAACTGCAGATGTAGTAGAAACAGCAAGAGGACTAGAATTAGAAGTGAAGCCTGAAGATGTGACTGTCTTGCTGCAATCTCATGATAGAATTTTAATGGATGAGGAGTTGCTGCTTATAGATGAGCAGAGAGAGTGGTTTCTTGAGATGGAGTCTACTCCTGGTGAAGATGCTGTGAAGATTGTCGAAATGACAACAAAGGGTTTAGAATATTACGTAAACCTGTTTGATACAGCAGCGGCAGGGCTTGAGAAGACTGACCTCAATTTTGAAAGAAGTTCTACTGTGGCTAAAATGCTATCACACAGCAACACATGCTACAGAGAAATGGTTCATGAAAGGAACAGTCAACTGACATGGCAAACTTCATTGTTGTCTTATTTTAAGAAATTGCCACAGCCACTCCAGCCTTAGGCAACCACCCCCCTGGTCCTTTAGCAGCCATGAACATGGAAGCAAAACCTTCCACCAGCAAAAAGATTATGACTCGCTAAAGGCTCAGATGATAGTTAACATTTTTTAGCAATGAAGTATTTTTAACTAAGATACGTACATTGTTAGACATTGTTTAGACATAATGCCATTGCACACTTTTTGTGTAGTGCAAACATAACTTTTACATGCGCTGGGAAACCAAAAACTTCATGTGACTTGTTTTATCGCAGTGTTCTGAAACAGAACCCACACAATCTCTGAGGTATGCCTGTAGTGTGTAGGACAACTTTAGAGTTACCAGAACTGATCATTGTTCGAGCTCTCAGGAGCAGTGCCATGTAAAAGAACTCTGCGATGCTGCGAATGTTCTCTTTAGTCTCCTACGTAGAGCCACATGTATCTGTGGAACACTTAAATTATGGCTGATGTGACAGAGGAACTAAATTTAAAATTTTGTTTAATATTAATTAGTATAAATTTAAATAGCCCCATGCAGCTAGAGGCTACCATTTCAAACAGTGCAGCTCTGTATAAAAAGGAGTTTAGAGAGAGCCATGAGCATAGATGCATCACTCTCTTCCTTTCTTTAGGAATAGCATGGAATTCTGCATGTCCAAGATTTCACTGCCTTAGTGCCCTCAGCCATGTCCCCTTAACCATCTGTGCATACGAGTAGCCTTTCATTCACACTGGGATTGCATTGTTCCCTCATTATTTCTCTTGTCCATTGGTCATCTCTTGGTGACTACAGCCCACTCCTCCTTTTGTGTCCAGCACCCAGAACCCCAACCGTATTTGCTTTGCAGGTTCCCCATGCTGTTCCTTCTACTCACTTGATTTTGAACATTGGTTCAGGTTAGACACAGCCGTGACATATGCATGTCCTAAGTAGGATTCATATGTTGTTTTGTCCGGAAGTGTAGCCAAACATTTGGTGTCATCTCTGAACAGAAGGTCCTTGGTTTCTGACTGGAACATACAAAAACTGCCCGAGCAGTCATTTCCATTTTTTCCAAATTCATGCTGTCAAATGGACAGAAAGCACATGGGGACCTGTGACAAAGAGCTGCTGGGAGCACAAGGATGGGCTGGAGGAGGAGGCTAAAGGAGCCGGGAACCAGCCTGGGAAGAAAGGGAGGCTGCAAAGGATGTCCCAGGATCTTCCCACATCCCTCACCTGGCATTCACACAATTATGGACCCCAAATCCATGCTTCCATGAGGCCCCAGAGTCCTCTGTGGGGTCTATCTTGGCCCCATCTCCTGGGAACAGTCCCTCCCTCCCCCTTCCCACCCACCCTCTGCTGACTTCTGTGATCTCTCTTCCCCACTTCGTTGGCCATGGCCTTGGAGACTGCTTCCAGGAAATGAGAGGACAAAAACGTGTCCCCTCTAAGTATTATTATCAAAGAAGATATTAAATATAAGCCACCCAGTGAGGGCTGGTACAGGTAGCTGCTGAAAGTTCATGTTTGACTGCATCTTTGTTCCTGTCTTGATAAAGGCTTGACTCCTCTAGGCCTTCTAAGATTATAAGTGAAATAATAATTACAAAAAGTTTAGCATTCCGTCTAGAACCCAGGAAATGTTTATTAAATGCTAATTATTAGTATCATTTACCTTAAGAGGACTCACAAAGGAATACTATCTTAATCAAAAAAAGAAAAGAAAACTGATGGTGGATCAGCAGGCAGGACGCTGTCGCTGAGGGTGGGTGGTGTTTGCGGGGGGAGGATGAGAACACACAGGCAGCCCCCTCCCCAACAAGGCCAGCCCTGGTTGGTTGTTCCCCCAGAGGACAAGCTCCCTCAGGGTAGGGTTCCTGGGTTTTTCTGCCTGTTGGAATGGTTCTCAGTCTGCCTATGCAAGAGAAACACAGTCTACATTTCATGACTCGTATCAAGAAGGGCTGGGAAACAGGACCAGTCACCTTCATTTAAAAAAAAAAAAGGCAAAGGCAGGGGAATGTGAGGGTACCACAGAGCAAGGTCAGAGCCCAGATGCAAGGGAGATGCTTAGACCCGGGAAATGTGCATTAGATGGTGTGTGGCCGTCGGTGAGCAGAAGATACGAGAGGAGCCAGGCCTGGGAGACCCAGTTCCACAATCCATGCCCTTCCAATTCTTGCCTTCCGAAAAAGAATGCTGGAATGTGGGCTGGCACTTGGCTGTGAACTCTCCCAAACAGTCCACACCCACCTGGGGAAGGAAGGGTTGGAGGCCCTGGCTGGTCCATACCTGCTGGCTAAGTAGCTCATTGCGAACACAAGCTGCCTTATCTTCCCGTGAGACCACAGCATGATGTGGGGCTTGGGCCAGGTGGCAGCTCTCAGCCTTGTCCACAGACTTCCTGGTGCCATCAGTGCACAACAGCTGAAAATTCTCTGGCTTCAGGTCTTTTGCCCACGCGTCAGTGTTGCTTCCTGGGTACAGAAAAGGTGGGTCAGCGACAGCTTTGATCAAGGCACCCTCAGGGCAGGGATGTGACCAACACACTGGCATGTGGAGGGCCTGGACCCAGTAGCCAGCAGGGGTTACAGTGATGTGGAGAGGCAGAGATTTGCCAGGAATTCTCAGCAACCATGCCTTCCAATCTGCCCACCTAGCTGGGGAGAGTGAGCCACATTCTGTGGATGATGTTCAAAAAGATCTTCATTTCTACTAAATCCCAAAGCATTTGGACCTCATGCTCCAGTGTAGGAAGACTGTGACCCTCTAAGCAGGTTGACAATCTCTGTGTTATACCATCAGGCACTAGCAAGCAAAAGAACTCTCCCCAGATGCCCCTTTGGAAGGTGGATCAGTGTTTGAAACCGGGCTCCTTTATACTAGCTCTGCGTGCAATGCACGCATGCCCCTGTGTGTACAGGTCCATATTCCTGTTCTCAGCCCTCTGCTTCATTGTTTCTGTATTCTCTCTAAAAAAGAGAATCTCACCCATTCTCAGGGTTTAAGCTCCTTCCTCCTGAGGCAATTCTCAAATAAGTTTTCCCAATTTGTGCTTCTCTCCTAAAATGCAGGATTGTGGTCTTTTTCTTAATTTAGTTTTTATTTAATTTTTTCATTTACTTGAGCAACTAATACATGAATTCGCTATCACAAAATTTTAAACTTATTTATATATAAGGTAAAAACACCCCTTTTTCTATACTCCTCAAGTGGACACTTCCGGTTTGAATAGAAAACTCCAAAGTCTCTCCCCACCAGCAATTGCACACATCTTTTGCTCACCTTCTAATATTTCTCCTTTCCTTTCTTACTAGTCCCTCTACCTCAACACCTTCCAATGAAATCCGGCCTGATTCTCTCCAAACCCATTCTATTCTACTTAGCAATTTAAGCATTTATTCAATACTATGTTCTCAGCCCTCTGCAAGACACAGTCTTATTGGAGTTGAAATAGCATGCATACCAAGAGGAAAAAATGCAGGGCACAGATGATAACATTTTACATTTTTTATTTGTAACACACTCTAAATGCTATGGGAGCTGGGGAGCCAGCCCAATGAGAGCACATTAACCTGGGAAAGGTAGCTGGAGAAGGCAAGGTTTCAGGTGTGTCCTGTAACATGCGTAGGGTTGAGAGGAGAAAGGAATGCTTTTCTGTGGGAGGATGGCGGGTTCTAGCAAGATGCAGGGACCAGTAGGTGCCTGGTATTTCTAATGGATGGGGGAGAGCAGCCCACTGGGACAGAATCTTGGGCAGTTGGGCTGAACACGCCCAGGCCCCGCACACCCTGGCGAGTGTGGGATGGAGTATAGCATTTAGGTGGGAAGCAAAGTGGGTCTTTGGGGACTTATGAATGGAAATCAGTGTTAATGCATCAGCCTGAAATAGGATAATTAGGAAAAATGAGAAGGGAGATGATTCGGTCTGGGTTAAGAGCAGTGGGCATGTGGAAGGCATGATAAAAATGTTCTTTCCAATAACAATAATGCTTGTTTATTGTGGCTTATTTGTAAAATGCTATAGTTGAAGGAAGAAAACTTTGAAACCCTTATAATCCCACAGCATTCACTTTCAACGTTGGTGCCTTTCTTCTGGTCTCTTTTCTAGACCCTCGTATAATATGCAGACACATATCTACGTAATTAGATCATACAGTCCACATGCCTTTGTATCCTGACTCTTCCATATCACAACATACCATAGGATTTAATGAAGACATATTCTGAAGAAACAAAAAACATACTAACTAAGAGACTAATCTAGGCTTGACTGGCAGGGCATATATTGAAGCCCTTCCATAGGAGCAGAGGCTGTGTAAAGAGGATTGGGTTTTGAGAGAAGGGTGAGGAGTTTGGATTCCTACAAGTTGAGGTTGCAATGCCAGTGTACTTTGTACATAAAAATGACCCCAGGGGCAAATAGAGATCCTATTCAGAAGGGTACAAGAAGAAATCGGGGTAGGGGCAAAGAACCAGTCTGGGGTAACACTCAGGTAGCCCGAAAAAGGACAGCCCTTTAAGGAAAAGGCAAAAATAACAAGAGGGAAGAATGAAAAATTAGCCAAACCAATATTCCTTCAAGTACGTACTTAGCAACTTCTGTGTACCATACACTGTGGCTGGTGATGGAATATAAGAGGAGGCGAAAAGGACTCCAAGCGTCCCTGTAGCCAGTTTATTACAGAAGGTGATGAATTCGATATTAAAAGCAGTGTGGACAGAAGATTCTGTTGTGGGATGGGGTGTGCCATCTGGGAAGGCTTCTTGGAGGAGTTGGTCCTGCAGTAGTTCATTCGAAATGAGGTTGGGTAAAGGGCATGAGGAAGGGAGGGAAGTAATAACCGCCTGGACTCTAGGGGGTGCTATAAGCAGCTAGTGATACAGAGTGGACAGATGGGAATGCTCATTCTTACCAACATTTCAAAAAGTTTTTGTCGTGTTTGTTAATGTCATAGCCATCTAATATTCACATATTCACCCGCTAGTTTAGTACCCACTGAAGGTCCTTCCTTGAATCAGTTATTACTATATTGGTTGCCAAATAGTAGTTATTTTAGCTTCATAATTATTTCTACATCTAGAATTAGCTTTCTATCGTAAGGAAGATCTTTCCCTTCATACTCATTTGTTTAATCAGGATGGACTCATGTGTTCTTATTTTATTCAATGGGTTATTATGTCTTAAAACTATTTCTTTTAATGCTCAAAATGTCCCAGATTTGGTTAGTGGAGGGCCTTTAGAATGGCTTCTATGTGCTCTGACACATCCCATCTCTCTGAGCGCTTCAGCATCATGTTCTGAGTTCATCGTATACTTTTCCTGCCCCTGTCCCAGAATCAGCTATTTTTCCAGGGGGCCCTGGTTCCTTCTATTGGAGAATGGTTCTAGAAGCCAAGGTCTTAGGTGCTCATTCCTACAGGGGTGCCACTGTCTATGTGTTGTTTTTTTTTCAGTGGACCTGTAGTATATTTAAATATATATTGGGCCTGGAAATACAGGCAATAGTTATAAAGGACCTTTGGGGGATAATTCACAAAATTTGAATAGGGACTACGGACATGACGAGTATTTAATCCACATTAGTATAAGCTTCCTATCGTGGTCATTGTGATGTGGGTATGTAAGAGAAAGCCCTCATTCTTAGGAAATGTGCCCTGAAGTATTTAGGGGAAAGGAGGCACAGGGCCTGCACCTGTGGGAAGGCTCCTGGGAGGGGAGTCAAAGCCACTGGGAACCCCATGGTTCTTGCCACTTTGCCTTCCCAGGAGAATGCTTTTCTCTTCACTGAACAGACAGATTGAGAATCAGAGCTCTGGACCCTGACAAAGTCCATAATACTTCCACAAAGACATCTTGAACACAAGAGAACCAGTGACCCTGATTTACGGGAACAAAGGGTTGTGCACGTACCATTCGTGTTCTGCATGACAGTCTGGTCTTTCACAAAGGCCACGTCTCCCTTCTCAACCAGGCATCTGCAGGGTCCCAGATAGGGAGAGAGAAGAAAAGAGGTCAGAGACACCTCTGTCATTCAGGAAGATCACCTTATAGAACCAGCACTGGCCATCTGGTAGCAACTGTGACTCCCACTTTATCATTAATTCTTCCATATTATGGAGGTAAGTAACAAAGAAAAAGGAAACAGCACCTCTGATAGACTTTGCAGTTATACAGTCTCAGTTCTACACACTAAATTCTAAATTCTGGCACAGTTTCTCCAACAGAGCTGCATCCATTTCCTTGCATCAGCACAGACATTAGGAGGGCAATCTTCCAGCAAGGTGATTCCTTATTCACAGTCTACTTGCAAAATTGGAAACTTGTGGACTGTGAATTGTACTTACTCTAACTCACAAGGTGGTTCTAACTGGAGAATTGGGATAATCTTTGCTTTTTCCTTCCCTAGTGAGAAGTTCGGTTATAATACCACCATCATCGTGAAGTTGATGGATTCATGAACTGCTATGTGACACAGGCCTGAGTCAGAAAGGGTAGGTAAAAAGTAATACGGTCATAAGGTGCACTGGTGTCTCTTTAAAAAATGATAAAGACTCCATGAGACAGAGCTGCGACTCAGAATGTAAAAATCATGTACTTTACTTTTGCATATTTCCATGGTTCCCCCAGAGGTGCACAGAAGAGCATGAGTCCGACGGTTGACTCCTATGTTTGTTCAACTACAGCAAGGTTTCCTCACTTTGGCACTTAGTGACATTTGGGGCCAGATAATTCTTTATTGTAGGGTGCTGTCCTTTGCATGCAGAATGTTGAGCTGCCTTTACTAATTAAATGCCAGTATCACCCCCAACCCTATTGATAATCAAAAACATCTCCAGGCACTGCCAAATGTCCCCTGAGGGACCAGTCGCCCCCTGTTGGGAACTTCTCATCTGCACCGTATTGCCACTCTTTGCTGTCTATGACCGACAGGTCCGGAGACAGTGTCCTGAGGGACCTGGATGCCCCTTCACACAGGTCTCTACACATGTCTGTAAATGTGGCACCATAACATGAAGGACTAACAGGCTGGGAACGTAAGAATCTCACCTGAGTTCCTCAAAAGGAATCTTGTCAGGGCTGAGGTTATTATTATATTTGCATGAAGGTTACAAGACTCACCTGAAAGCCCCTGTATAGCCGTAGTATCGCTCATGGTTGTTGGGAAGACACTCCTTTCCCGGAGACGTTTCGGAGCCGATACACAGAGCACAGAGGCTGGAGTTTTTCTGAGACCCAGGGGCACAGCCTGAACTGAAAAATTTATCTGTGCAGGAGAATGAGAGGGAGTCAGCTCTTCCTGAGTCAATAGGAGTGGCCTTTTTTTTTTCTTTAACACATCACAGGTGGGTATGGCCCAGGATAGGTAGAACATACTTATCCTGTGACCTGCCGCCAACTCAGGACCTGCCAGTCTATAGGCTTTAAAAGGAAACTTGATTGAGATTGGGAATGGTTAGTGACCATCACAATTCAGGGGGCGGGGATCCCACGGGCTCCCGATAGTGTCGTCACTTGTCTAAAGAGAGAAGTGATGGAAATGAGATGAAAGACGACCTGCAAAGGGTAAAATTGGAGGTCTCGCTCCCTGAGCTTGTGCTGCTTGCTTTCAGGCGTTTCTTCCCTCTGCTGTTTATTAGAAGAGTCTTTAACAGGACTTAGAACTCCAAGTGCAAGAAAGTGCTGGGGGATTTTACTCCCAGTTCACCTGCTCTCCCGTGGCTGCATAACTGCCGGGACGCTCAGGAGAGCAGAGCGGGTGCCCTTGCGGGTGGGCCACAGAACTGCTGAATGTCGACCCAGCCACACTGTACTTCCTGGCAAACTGATGTCGCAGAACGCAACAGTATAGAAGTGCGGTCTCATCTCCAAATCCCTCCTCTCCATCAGCACACACACGGGACTTCCCTGGTGCGTAGCGGTCTTTAGAGGCCTCTCCTTTTAAAGTAGCTCAGGAAGTTAAAGTGCATAAGAACCATAAGAAAACATGTCCATAGTGAACTTACATGCAGATTTTTACGGGGTAGAACTAAGCTCATAACTGAAGATAATCAGAGGACACACAATAAACTGATTTCCACGCCTTTGAAGGGGCCTAGTTGCTGAGCAGTCATCCGGTGAGACTGCCAAGATCCTAAAGAGACCCCAGGATCCCTCCCACCACCTAGAAAGTCTCGTAGCAAGGCTTGTAGCTGTCCAGCCAGGGTTTCTTAGTAACAAAGATCAAGTTGGTTTTTGCCTTTTTGTTCTTCCATTAATTTTTTTACTAGAGATATAATTGACATGTAACATTATATTAGTTTCAGGTGTACAACATGATTCGCTATTGCAAATATATTGTGAAATGATCACCACAATATGTGTAGTTAACATACATCACCTTACAGAGTTAAAAATTTTTTTTCTTGTGTCTAGGACTTCCAAAACTAGGTTGAATAAAAGTGGCAAAAGCAGGCATCCTTGTCTCGTTCCTGATCGTAGAGGAAATGCTTTCAGCTTTTCACTGTTGGATACGTTAGCTGTGGGTCTGTCATACGTGGCCCTTATTATGTCAAGGTCTGTTCCTCTGTACTCAGTTTCTGCAGGGGTTTTTTTTTTATCATAAATGGATGTTGAATTTTACTGAAAGCTTTTTATCCTGCATTTATTGAGATGATCACTTGATTTTATTCTTCATTTTGTTAATGTGATGTATCACATAAAAAATTGTTTTCTTGTGATGAGAGCTTTTAAGACCTACTCTCTTAGCAACTTTCAAAAATGCAGTATGGCATAATTAACTATAGTCACCATGCTGTACATTACATCTTCATGACTTACTTATTCTGTAACTGAAGCTCATACCTTTTGAGCACCTTCACCCACTTTGCCCACCCCCAGCCCCTGCCTCTGGTAACTACCAATGTTCTCTCTGTGTCTATGAGCTCAGGTTGTTTGAGTTTGTTGTTTGTTTGTTTAGATTCCACGTATAAATGAGAACATACAGTATTTGTCTTTCTCTGTCTGACTTATTTCGCTTAGCATAGTGCCTTCAAGGTCCATCCACTTGCCATTGTTGCAAGTGGCAAGGTTTCTTTCTTTTTTATGGCTCAATAATATTCTATTGTATGTATATATAAACCACAATTTATCCATTCATTCATGATGGACACTTAGGTTCTTTCTGTATCACAGCTGTTATAAATAATGCTGCAGTGAAGATGTGGGTGCATATATCTTTTCAAGTTAGTATTTTTGTTTTCTTCCAATAAATACCCAGAACTGAAATTGTTGGATCACATGGTAATTCTATTTTTAACTTCTTGATCAAAAATCTAGTTTTATTTGGGGCAGAAACATGCCCAAATAAAAGATGACATTTCCCAGCCTCTTTTACATCTAAATGTGACTATATATCCCATTTGGGGGCAGTGAGAAGTTAGCTGAAGTAATTGGGTTAGAGTGCCTGAATGGCTGCTTTAATAAGGTGGCATATACTTCAAGTGCCCTTCCTCCTTTTCCTTGAGGTTGCCTGTCATGAATGTAATGGCAACCATGGGTGACCTCGAAGACAGAGGCGTCATGCTCAGAATGGTGGAGAAGGAAGAGAGAGGAGCCTGGGTTTCTAATGACAGTATCAGCCAGGAACTGCTCATCTCTGGTCTTTTGTACGAGAGAGAGAGTAGATGTATGTTGACTTAAGTCGTTGCGTGCAACTGAGAAGAACCATTCTGATCCAGCTCCTCAGCCCTACCATTACTTTTAGATACTTCCTTGAAGTTCACTAAACCAAACTGTATTACCATAGAACCAGGGCCACAGCATTTTATACCGTACCACACTCTTCCCTGAAGTCTGTCCACCTGGTCCTGACCACAGTGCCCTCTCAGAGCTCACTCACCAAAGTCACAGTGGTTAATCATGTTGTAGAGCAGGCCCATGGGTATGTTCCAGCCAGCAGTTCTGTCCACTCCGGTGTGGCAGGACTTCCTGCCTTGCAGATTGTTCCAGTTGAGATCATCACCTGATGATGACTTAACCACAGCCACGGCAAGATACCCTACAAGGAAGACACCAAAAAAGGGAGTGTTAACATGACTGGAGCCTCCAGGGTGTCCGTCTACAATCAAAGCCTGCCACCTCCCTATGGAGCATAGTTATCCCGAATCATTCCTTCTCTCTTTGAAAGGGTCTTCCCAACAACTGATTGAGGGGAATTACAAGTCATTCCAGGAGGTGGAGATGAATCTGAACTGGGAAAACACAATAGTAAGAATACATTATCATCAGAGCATTGGCTGGTGTGTAGCCCTTCCCCAAATGCATGAAGCTACTGACCTTATAAGCCAGCAACTCACCCTCCACTGTGGAGCAGCAGAGGAATGGATACTCAAGAGTACATTCTATGCATTAACAATTGTTAGGAAAAAGTAGTAAATGAGCGATAAACTGCAGGGATATTCTGGCCAGATGTTTTGTGCTAAGGAGAATATAAGTTTACAGCAGAATAAATATGCTAAGTGAAACCTGTCAGAGTCAAGTTAGCTGCCATGTTAGCAGCAAATACATGCTGGTCTTTAAAACTGGGAATAGAAAGAATGTCAACTCATGATTTCAGTTTTCCAATTTAATTAATTCAGGAAATTGTTTCCAACAGAAAAGATGCAAGTTTTATTGTCCATGGAATAAGAATGGTTCTGGTTTTAACTAAAGAGCTTGGTTCCTAGTGTGCTGGAGAGAGGCTGGAAGGTTGTAATTGGGAAAAGTGATGAGGACAGACTTGCACACAAATGGCTGGAAATGACCCGCAGGGACTTGAGACGGGCCCCAGGGCCCACCTTGATAAGATTTCCTGTCTTGCTCTTGCCACACCTACCAGATCTACCCCTAGCCAGAGCCCTGGGTGAGAGCCGGGTTGGCCTGGGTTCCTGGGCCTTCCGCTGGCTTGGAGGCTGGGCAATTTCATGCCCCTAAACATCTGCCTGTGTGAGCCACTCTCGTCAGCCCTGCCAGGCACATATAAGCAAGGCTCCTTGGCTGGTGCTAACTCTCAGCTAAAACTTTGCAGGCCTCATGCAACGTGAGACAGTCGGGGGTGGGGGGAGGGCCTGAATTTGCTTGCTGGATGTTGGAGTCTAGATAGCTTGTAATCTCTCTGAGCTGTTGGTCCTCTTATGCATTCTTAGAGGATACAAGAGCTACCTTATACGATTAAATGAGAAATCCTGTGTGCAAGTCATGGGAAGTGTAGAAGAGCAATCCTCATTGCTAGTTACCCTCCTCCCATGATTCTTTTGCATTCTGAAAATTGGCCTCTTATGTACTTTTGATTTAAATGTAAACTTCTTTTACCCTTTCCCAAAAGCAATGGGAATTTTTCTTAAACTCATGAGGTTACCAACCCCAACTCACCTTTCTCTAGTGTGTTTTCACAAGTGTTGCCAGAAGTGTCTGGAGAGGAGAAAAGGAAGAAGTCATTAAACACTGATTTGTAGATTGGAAATCGTCTTTCCCATGTGCAGTTTAGAATAAACAGAGCCAGGAGAACTATCTACATAACAGCAGTTCCCAAAAGGTCCAGGCTGTCTTTTTCAAGTTCACTTGAGCTTATTGGAATTAGCCCAAATTGCACATTTCAAGTTTTTTGCTCTATCTGTCCCATGGCCACAGAGATCCCTGCTGACTATGCTTGAATCCGTGCACCAGGGCAACATGAGATGTATGAGTTTGGGAAGCAAGAAGGCCTGCCAGGAATCCCATCTGAGAATCCAGCTGTCCTCGAAATAGGGGTCACTTTTAGCTAGAACTTCCCGGTGCAAAGCCTCCAGCTCCCTTGTGGAACAGCCCATCCCTCAAGATACTTGTGGGGACTAGACGTGAGAGAGCCCAGAGCCTAGGAAGTAAGAGATGCTCAATCAGCAAGAGCTTTATGGCCCATGTGGTATGAATCTAGCTGTGATTTTCCATCTCCTCTCTCCATGGCCCAGAGGCAATGAAACTCTGAGATGCGCCCCCTCCACGTACAGTAGTTCTCCGCCAGGACAGGCACCAGACCACATTTGCCCGCGATGTAGACAAAGCCTCCATCCAAGCTCATGGCATCAGCTTCTCCTTTCTGCAAAGACACAGCACATCACAGCAGGTGAAGAGAGACCAGCTTCTGTCCCACATGCCCTGTCAACGGTTCCCTTGAAGCCGCCTTGGCCAACACTGGATGTGAAGGCCCTGGAAGACAGAAGGTGCTAGTACCGGACCCCCAAAGGGTCAGTCAGGCACCTCCAACATAGAAAATAAAAGGTACTCTCTTTTTCATCCAAACCATGATGAACTAATGATCAACTCTGGGTGCTTAGTTTCTTCAGGAGCAAAGACCACATTTAGTCCCTCTGTCCTCTCATAGGACGCACTGTCCCAGAGACTCTCACAACACCTTTCTGACACCAAGAATTCTCATTTGTAAGGCAGATGCGTGGAGTCACGGACTCTGGGCTGTGTCTGCAGTATAGAGTGCCTCCTGATGGGGGCTCCAGCCCCGAATCTTGGCCACATTGGCTGAGTGCTTTTACAGAGCTTGGTCAATACAAGATCTTCAATGAATGAATCAAATAAACTTATATGATTTAATAGAGCTAATAAGCCCCAAATTTCAGAGATGCTTAAATTCAGCAATACTGCCAAGCTTCCCATTGAGCCTGAAAATATACTTTTGAGGAAATGTGGGAAACTGTTCGAGCAAAATGTGTTAAGTGGGCAAAAACATGCAAGTATGATTCATAATAGCGAAAAGATGAGACCAAATTTGATGCTCAATAGCAAGGAAATGACTCAACAATTTACAGCACATTCATACTCTGAAATAGATGTCAACATTAAGACATTGTATTTTCAAAGAATGGTTTGTGATAAGGGAAAAGCTCCCTAGGTAACATTAGGTGAGAAAAGGGTAGTAAGTTTTATATATGATGTGATCCTCCCGTTAACAGGATCTCCTCTGATAAGATGGTCATGATTCATTTTTATGTATTTTCTTCTTTATGCCCTTCAGTTATCTAAAAGCAAACATGGAATGCTCTTGTGAGCAACAAAGCTAAACTTCTACCTGCTTGCACAGTAACATGACTCTGTCACCCTTGTCACAGCCCACGGTGGGTCTCAGGCACACCCACACCGAGGTCCACCCTTCCTAAGCAGACATGCCTCAGATTGCCCTCTAACGGGGTTGTAACACCAGGAGGAAACAGAGCCTTAAGGAGCCCTTCAGATCCACCAGCTCAAAGGTCCTGAAGCTCCCGTGGGGCTGGGCACCCACAGTGAAGGCAAGGTTCCTAGGAACTTGGCCTTTCGTATCATTCCCAGGAACACTCACTCAGCCGGGGGACAGGCAGGCAGCAGTGGCAAGGATGCTGCCCTGCGGAGGCAGGAGTGACGTACCATGATCTTGGCAATACAATCTTCAGTGGTCTCTTCTGACTCACACTCTATATGCCCGCTACTGCTCACGCTCCATGCATCACACTTTTTCCTCTCCATGTGACCCACTGCACACCATTTCACCTTCTTGCACCCATCCTTCGAGGTGTCTGGGACTAGAACATAAGGAAGAGAATCAGAGATAAGGAGACCCCTCAGATGTTGCCTGCTGGGCAATATGAAGCTAACTGTCCTCATGAAAATGTTGGAATTTTTTGGCAAAACAAACACATCCCACTCAAGGAATTCATCTCTTAGAATCAAAGGCAGTAACAGTCTCTTGGTTGGTTTCTTATCGTTTTGATTTAGCTTAAAGTTATTTTTTTCCAGCAGCCGGTACTCCTTCCAGCCCTGAGGCACTCGATCACTTCTGGCTGTTTTTTTCCCCCCTCTTCTTTTAGAAATAGCATTTAACCATCTGAGCCGTTGTTATATTTTCAGTCACTGCTTACTGTCTGTTCCCTGCAGGAGAACATGAGTGTGGCAGGGCAAGGGCCATGCCTGTCTTGTTCTCCATGGGCCCCTTGATGTTCGGGGTGGTGCCTGATTCATGGTCAGTGCAGTAAACGTCTGCTGAATACATGGACACCCACCCAACTTTTAGACTCAGCCCAAGAGACTTCTTCAGGGGAGCCTCACCTCAATTCCAGGATCTGTTTTCCTTTGTTTTGCACTCTTATAAAGCCATAATATTTTATTCTGGTTTTTTTTCTGCTGCGGAAATCTCTCATATTTAATTGATCATTCAACAGAGTGACTATTCCTTGAACATCTGTCTTCCCTGCTGGTCTGAAAGTTCCATGACAGCAGAAGCTAACAGATCTTCGTCTCATCATTGTATGCTCAGCATGTAGCACAGTGTATGGCTAGATGGTCAATAAATGTCTGTTGAATGAATGTTCAAATTTACCCCCAGTTACCTAAAAAATTCAGGAGTAGGATTGACCTGTCTAAAGCTCCAGCTTCACCATGGCACATATTGACCGTAATACTGGCTGCAGACATGCAAGTTTGTGGCAGTTTCATCCTATTTGACTTACTTTGTGCCAGGTTAATTGGCTTCTCAAGGTAGGATAGGGTGGCCCTGATTTATACGAGGGAAAGTGCTGGTATCAATACAAGTCATTTTAAGCATGAATTTCCCTTAATGCCCTCTGGTGCTGTCCAGGCCCATCTCATGATGACTAACACCATTCAGCATCCATCTAACACTGGGCTGCACAGGCGAGGCAGATAAAGGATCATCGGGACCTGGAAAGAGTATCGCTGGTCCCCACCCTTACCAGATTCCAAGCTCCTAGGGTCACATGATCCTTCCCAAATACTTACGTGTTTCTCCTCTTAGGTTACGAACAGCAGTGACATATTCATATCCAAGGTACAGCTGGGAGTCCATCTTAGGGGGGATCTTTAAGAACCCATTGGCAGAGTCCTTAAACAGTAGGTCCTTTCCATGAGGGGAGCTGAAGAGCTGGAAGTCCGTAGATTTATCTTTGCCAAAATGTTGCTGTTTGTAATAAAACACAGAACCAAGTGACTACAGCAACACGGGAGGCTGCAATATGGCACTGAAGAAAATTTAGAAACCCAGGAAACCAAATGAAAACTGAAATTTCCAAGATGCCAGGAGAGAGAGCGGCTGGACCTGCTCTTTTTCACCCAGCACCTTCTCCATTCACAGCCCTCTTGGGCCACGTTAACACCTGATTTCCCTGAACGTGTTTCTGTGCTTGTCTCCCTGGCTGGATGAGAGCTCACTGAGCACAAGAAATGCATCTCCTTCGGAGGCTGACACTGTGTGGTTCCACTTAGACCTCTGATGGGCAGATGGGAGGGCAGGGTGTGAGAAGGTCAGCTCAGCTCTGGCGTTCTGCTGCTCTAGAGGAGGAGAGCTGGCTGTGTGTGCCACTCCCTTGCAGTCAGGCTGAGGGACGTGGGAAGAGATATCATTTCACTTCCATCGGGAGAGAAACGGAATAGAGCAATAAGGAGCATCTTCATGTCACTGGTCCAAAACGTAAGGGTCTGGCAGACCAGGCCATAGGACCAGGCTCTGTGCAGCTCTGAGAGGAGGCCCTGCTGAGTGCTTTCATACAAGCAGGTGGTGTTTCCTTCTACGTCCTGAACACAGAAGGACTTCTACAGTGGCAAGAAGGGAGTGAAGGAAGATGCCCCTAATCCAAGCAGGGTCTGCTAAGCAGGAAAGAGGACAGTGGATTCAAT